CTTTGCATCTGTTAGTATTTTAAATTTTATTCTGGGCTTCTTGCCCTGCCAGACAAATCTGGAAATATCTTTCTGCCACCTCTTGAAACAATCCATTTTGTCCACAATTTGCAATGTTTGAAACAAAAACAACATTCTAGGCAATACATTCATTTTTACCGCAGCAATACGGCCCAGCAGTGAAAGCTTCAAATTTGACCAAATTTCTAGATCTTTCTTCACTTCAGTCCAACATTTTTCATAGTTATCTTTAAATAAATTCCCATTTTTGCTGTCATGTTAATCCCCAGGTATTTAACTTTCTTAACCACTGTTAAACCTGTCACATTCTGAAACCTCTCTCTCTCCATTGGTGTTAGATTTTTCTCTAAAACCTTAGTTTTTAACTTCTTCAATTTAAATCCTGCAACCTGACCAAATTCTTGAATCAGTTCTAAAACCCTTTTGGTACTAGATTCTGGCTCCTGTAACGTCAGTACTAAATCATCTGCAAATGCTCTCAATTTGTACTGTTTAGCTCCGACCTGTATACCTTTAACCAACTGGTCCCTTCTAATCATGTTCAGCCAAAACCTCCAGGACCGAAATAAAAGTAGTGGGGAAATTGGGCAACCTTGTCGTGTCCCTTTTTCTATTTTAAGTTCTTCCGTCACCACATTATTTACAATTAATTTAGCCTTTTGTTCTGAATAAATTGCACTTATACCATTTTCAAAGCCTTGGCCTACCCCCATACCCTGTAGGTTCTTCTTCATAAAGCTCCAAGAAATATTGTCAAAAGCTTTCTCTACGTCCACAAATATCAAAACTGCTTTAGTATTTATATTCACTTCTAGTTTTTCCAAAATATCAATTATATTCCTCAAGTTATCAGACAAATGTCTTCCTGGGAGAAAGCCCGCTTGATCTTTATGAATCTCTTCCATCACTTCCGGAGGTGGCGCCAGCGGTTAATGGCGGATTTCCTCGACCAGAGGAAATAGCGCCACGAAAACAAGGGTCGAATCCCGCTTCGGCGCAGCGGGGGACCCTCAAAAATCACAGGCGGGGGAAGCCTGTGAGCCTGGGACCCAGCGGGCACATTTGGCGCCCCCAACCAGGTAAAAGCCCGGCAACGGGCTCGGAATCGGAGCGGGGGAGAGCGCTGTGCTGTGGGCTGTCTGCTCCTTCGTGGTGTGAAGCCGCAAGCTGTTGACCGGAGAGCGCTGCCTTTTTTCCTTTGAATTGGGACTTGAAAATCAACGATCCGTGAGTAGGATACAACGTAATTGGAACTGTACAAATTGGGAATTTGGCCGAAAATGGAAAGAGGTTTAAAAAGGAAGTCTGCCTCTTTCCTTGTAGATAAAATAAAGCATTGAACTTGAAAGCGGAAGCATTGGAAAAGCACGTATTAGCGGACTTTAATCCAATCATCTAACCTGGTCTTTTCCCTCCTTTAAATTGAGGGAAAAGGGGGGAGAATTGTGGATGTGATTTCTTCACAAAGAAGTGGAATAGACGGGATTAAACCATCGTTCAATTCCCTGGGAAAGGATCTCCAGAAGTAACTTAGAAAAGAAAGAGAGGTACTGTCTTGAAATATATTTTGACAGCCAGTCCTGCACAGGAAATAAAAATTTGGACATATTATGTGAATATATATCTCCTGGTCTTAAGTTACTGTTTTATATAGACTGTTATCTTCCTTAATAAACTGGGGGGACTTAAAAAAGAAACTAAAGTATCCAAGAACTTTTATGACTGTTACAGTGTCCCCCTAGTGGAACTTGGAATTGTTACAATTTGTTATAATTGAAACTGTAGCTGGCTTGAGGAATTCTCACACTGCTTGGCTGGAAATTTCCACTGTTTGATTCTAACTGCGTGACTGACCTTGAGTATTATCTAAAGGAATGGCAGATGGTAAAGAGAAAGCGGAAGCATCGACTACAAGGTCGGGAAGGCCTATTCGAATAGAAGAAGGATTACAAAGGAGATCTTCGGCCTCAGGCGCCTCTGGAATCCCAACAGCAGCCTCATCGGCACAACTAAAAGCAAAAGGTATGACAAGTGATGATGCCTTTGCTCAAGTTTTGGCCAAGGTTAATGAATCTTTAAATAGAATAAGTCAACAAGTAGCAGAGGCATGTGACAAGATTGATCAAAATACAATAAGTATTAATCAAAATACTGCAAGTATAAATAATTTGGGCCAGAAAGTAAATACTAATACAGAGACTATTCAGAAATTATTAGAGGAATCGGCCTCAATACGCCAGATTGCTGAGGAGGCTAAAGAAATTGCTACAACTTCTGCTACAGAGGTTAAAGAGGTTCAAGAGACAATACCAACATTGCATAAACAATTGGAAGATCATAAATTGACCCTGTCTATGATTGAATTGAAGGAAAAACAAGTGAATTTACGGGTCAGATCGGTACCTGAAGTGGAAAAGGATAATTTAGCTGAATTTCTCACGCAGGAATTTTTGGACTTTTGGGATCCAGAATTGGTAAAAGACAGTTTTAAAATAGTAAATGCTTTTAGACTTGGCAGAAGAGGAGAGAAGAAGGTAAGAGACTGTTTGATTACCTTTCGAACAAAAGAAGAGAGGGATAAGATTTTGGGCTTGCATTTCAAGAAGACATTGGAAATCCAACGGACAAGGGTGGAAATATTTAAAGATATTCCGAAATACCTTCTGGATCTCAGATCAAACTACAAAGACTTGGTTACCCTGCTGAGAAGGAACAGTATCAACTTTAGGTGGGAACTCCCTCAAGGCCTGTCTTTTAGCTACAAAGGAAAGAAGAGGAAAATAAGATCGGAAGACGACAAAGACAAATTTTGCAGAGACCACGGAGAAGATTTACAAAAAGAACTATTTCCGGAACCAAAAGACCGTTCGAAAGAAGGGATACCACCGACGGATGAGGAACAGGCACTAGGTGCAGTAGGAGGAGAACTAAAACAATAACATCATGGCCCTGCAACTTTTAACATGGAACTGTCGGGGTTTGAATTCCCCTCAGAAAAGGAAGTCAGTATTTCATATATTAAAAAAGGAACAATTGGACCTAATTTGTCTACAAGAAACACATATAACAAGATTACACAGGAAATTGTTGATAAATAAAAGACTTGGTCAGGAGTTTATTTCGTCGGACAAAGTCAAAAAGAGAGGGGTTGTGATTTATGCAAAAGACAATTTATCACCAAAATTTGTTTTTAAAGATGACCAAGGAAGATTTGTGGCAATTGAAATTCAAACACAAGGAGAAAAATTTCTGATTGTAGGAGTCTACGCACCAAATGATGGGAAATCTGATTTTTTTTAAGAAGTTGCACGAGACCCTGATGGACCATATGGATTATAACACGATTCTGATGGGAGATATGAATGGAGTGGTATCTACTTATATGGACAAGGCACAAAGACAGGTAGTCACCAAGGATGGTAGACTACCGAAAACCTTTTTTGACATGACAGACAACTTGGATTTAGTGGACATTTGGAGAATAAGAAATCCCACGGCTAAAGAGGGAACTTTCTTTTCTGAAGCCAAAATGACATGGACAAGAATTGACCAAATTTGGATAACTAGAGGAATGGCACCAAAGACAAGAAAGGTGGAAATCTGCCCGAAAATTTGCTCCGACCATAACGCTGTTAAGATGGAAATGAGACTAACACCAACTGGCTCCTTCAGATGGAAGATGAATGACACCCTATTTAGAGATGAAGAATTTCTTAAGAAGGCCCAAAAAACTCTGAGAGACTACTTCGAGATAAACCTCAGTACCAACGTGGAGAAAAGAGTAATCTGGGACGCAAGTAAAGCGGTTATGAGAGGGTTCTTAATACAACAGAATGCGATAAAGAAAAGAACTCAAAATGAGAAGAAGGATAAAATAATGGACAAAATAAATGAATGTGAAAAAAGACTGAGAGTAAATCCCAAATCTCAAGAGATTTTGAGAGAGTTAAAGCTATATCAAGTACAATATATGAAAATGATGAATCAGGAAATAGAATGGAAAATTAAACAAATGAGACAAAAGACTTTTGAGTCGGCCAATAAATGTGGCAAATTGTTGGCATGGCAAATGAAAAAGAGACAAAAATTAAATACGATTACGAACTTAGAAGTGGAAGGAAGAAATATACAGAACCCAGCAGAGATTAGAAGTTGTTTCCAGAGGTACTTTAAACGATTATATACTCAAGGGCCATTGAAAGAAACAGATTTAGACCAATTTTTGAAGACAAATGGATTACAAAAATATCTCAAGAAAATAGACTAATTTTGAATGACAGAATAACTGAACAGGAAATAGAAGGTGCCATTCAAAACATGCAACTGGGTAAATCTCCAGGACCAGATGGCTTGACCTCTAGATACTACAGATCTTTAAAAGAATGGTTAATTCAACCATTGAAAGAGGTCTGCAATGAAATAATGGAGGGGAAGAGAGCACCAGAGTCGTGGAAAGAAGCATATATTACACTTGTACCAAAAACAGAGACTGAAAAGACACAACTTAAGAACTACCGCCCTATATCATTACTTAATGTGGATTACAAAATTTGTGCCGATATTTTGGCGAAGAGATTTAAAAAGTGTTGATGGAAGAGATTCACAAAGACCAAGCGGGCTTTCTCCCAGGAAGACATTTGTCTGACAATTTGAGGAATATAATTGATATCTTGGAAAAATTAGAAGTGAATATAAACACTAAAGCAGTGTTGATATTTGTAGACGCGGAGAAAGCCTTTGACAACATTTCTTGGAATTTTATGAAGAAGAATCTACAGGGTATGGGGGTAGGCCAAGGTTTTGAGAATGGTATAAGTGCAATTTATTCAGAACAAAAGGCTAAACTAATTGTAAATAATGTTGTGACGGAAGAACTTAAAATTGAAAAAGGGACACGACAAGGTTGCCCAATTTCCCCACTTCTTTTATTTCGGTCCTGGAGGTTTTGCTGAATATGATTAGAAGGGACCAGTTGGTCAAAGGTATACAGGTCGGAACTAAACAGTACAAATTGAGAGCATTTGCAGATGACTTAGTATTGACGTTACAGGAGCCAGAATCTAGTACTAAAAGGGTTTTAGAACTGATTCAAGAATTTGGTCAAGTGGCAGGATTTAAATTGAATAAGTCAAAAACCAAGGTTTTAGAGAAAAATTTAACACCGATTGAAAGAGAGAGGTTTCAGAATGAGACAGGTTTAACAGTGGTTAAGAAAGTTAAATATTTGGGGATTAACATGACAGCAAAAAATGGGAACTTATTTAAAGATAACTATGAAAAATGCTGGTCTGAAGTGAAAAAAGATTTAGAAATTTGGTCAAATTTGAAGCTTTCACTGCTGGGCCGTATTGCTGCGATAAAAATGAATGTATTGCCTAGAATGTTGTTTTTGTTCCAAACTTTGCAGATTGTGGACAAAATGGATTGTTTCAAGAGGTGGCAGAAAGATATTTCTAAATTTGTCTGGCAGGGCAAGAAGCCTAGAATAAAATTTAAAATACTAACAGATGCAAAGGAAAGAGGTGGATTTGCCCTGCCAGACCTCAAACTTTACTATGAATCAGCAGCCTTTTGCTGGTTGAAAGAATGGCTACTTCTTGAAAACACTGACATTTTGGACTTGGAAGGTTTTAATAATGTATTTGGATGGCATGCATATCTATGGTATGATAAGGTCAAAGCACATAAAGCATTTAGAAACCACATTGTCAGGAAAGCGCTATTTAATGTTTGGTTAAGATATAAGGATTTGTTAGAAAATAAAACCCCAAGGTGGCTGTCACCAATGGAAGCGAAAGCCTTGAAAAAGGTCAATATGGAGGTCAAATGGCCGAAATATTGGGAAATTCTGGAACAAGACGGAGATAGACTGAAATTGCAGAGTTTTGAAAAACTAAAAAACAAAGTGCGAGACTGGCTTCATTATTATCAGATAATGGAGGCATTTAAATTGGACAGGAAAATTGGCTTCCAGGTGGAAAGATCCAAATTAGAAACAGAATTGTTAGAACCCAAAACTAAGAATTTGTCAAGAATGTACAACTTGCTGCTGAAATGGAATACTCAGGATGAAACGGTAAAATCGGCTATGATTAAATGGGCACAGGACGTTGGACATAATATTATGTTTGCTGACTGGGAACAGTTATGGACCACAGGTATGAAATTTACGGCATGTAATGCCTTAAGAGAGAATATTATGAAAATGATATACAGGTGGTACATAACCCCAGTCAAGCTTGCAAAAATTTATCACTTGCCCGATAACAAATGTTGGAAATGTAAAGAAACTGAAGGTACATTTTTTCACCTTTGGTGGACGTGCCCAAAGATTAAGGCTTTCTGGGAAATGATATATAATGAATTAAAAAAGGTATTTAAGTATACCTTCCTAAGAAACCAGAGGCCTTTCTCCTGGGCATAGTCGGCCAAATGGTGTTAAAAAAGGATAGAACTTTCTTTATGTATGCAACAACAGCAGCAAGAATACTCATCGCAAAGTATTGGAAGACACAAGAACTTCCCACGCTGGAGGAATGGCAGATGAAACTTATGGACTATATGGAATTGGCGGAAATGACTGGTAGAATCCGTGACCAGGGAGAAGAGTCGATGGAGGAAGATTGGAAGAAATTCAAAGACTATCTTCAGAAACATTGCAAAATTAAAGAATGTTAGAGTGATGTTGGACTGAAAATAAGCGGTTTCCAGCTGTACAGGTTAAAGTTAATGATAGACTAAGATTAAAGATTAGGATTAAAGATGTTTAAAGAAATGGAAATTTGACATTAAGAGGGAAAATTTTAACGTTATAAGATACTAAGACTAAAGATCAGGTTTAAAGAAGTGGAAGTTATATATTTCAATATTTTATTAAAGCTAAAGATTGGGATTAAAAAAGTGGAAAAGAAATTGCTGGACAAACAATTTGGATTGGAATACAAAAGAGGGAGGTATGAGGAAGTCCAGAAAATAAGTAACTAAAAAACGGTTATGGAAAAGAGATATTGTTTTTAATTGTTATGTTCCTTGTTTCTTTATTGTTGAACTTTGTTTTGTTTTTGGTGTGTGTTTTTGTTATATGTATTGTGTATGCTTTTCTTTTTTTTCTTTGTTGTTTAAAATTTTAATAAAAATTATTTTTTTAAAAAAATGAATCTCTTCCATCAACACTTTTTTAAATCTCTTAGCCAAAATATCTGCAAAAATTTTGTAATCCACATTGAGTAATGATATGGGGCGGTAGTTCTTAAGCTGTGTCTTTTCAGTCTCTGTTTTCGGTACAAGAGTAATATATGCTTCTTTCCACGACTCTGGTGCTTTCCCCCTCCATTATTTCATTACAGACCTCTTTCAAAGGTTGTATTAACCATTCTTTCAAGGATCTGTAATATCTAGAAGTCAATCCATCCGGTCCTGGAGACTTACCCAATTGCATATTTTGAATGGCACCTTCTATCTCCTGTTCAGTTATTTTATAGTTCAACATTAGTTTATTTTCTTGAGAGATTTTTTGTAATCCATTTGTTTTCAAAAATTGGTCTAAGTCTGTTTCTTTCAATGGCCCTTGAGTATATAATCGTTTAAAGTATCTCTGGAAACAATTTCTAATCTCTGCAGGGTTCTGTATATTTCTTCCTTCCACTTCTAAATTCGTGACTGTATTTAATTTTTGTCTTTTTTTCATTTGCCAAGCCAACAGTTTCCCACATTTGTTAGCCGACTCAAATGTCTTTTATCTCATTTGTTTAATTTTCCATTCTATTTCCTGATTCATCATTTTCATATATTGTACTTGATGCAACTTTAATTCTCTCAGAATCTCTTGAGATTTTGGATTTGTTCTCAATCTTTTTTCACTTTCCTTTATTTTCTCCAATATCTTATCCTTCTTCTCATTTTGGATTCTCTTCTTTACTGCGTTCTGTTGTATCAGGAACCCTCTCATAACCGCTTTACTTCCGTCCCAGATTACTCTTTTTTCCACATTGGTGCTCAAATTTATCTCGAAGTAGTCTCTCAGAGTTTTTTGGGCCTTCTTAAGCACATCTTCATCTCTAAATAAGGTGTCATTCATCCTCCATCTAAAGGAGCCAGTTGGTGTTAGTTTCATTTCCATCTTGACAGCATTATGGTCAGAGCAAGTTTTCGGGCAGATTTCCACCTTTCTTGTTTTTGGTGCCATTCCTCTAGTTACCCATATTTGGTCAATTCTTGTCCATGTCATTTTGGCTTCAGAAAAGAAGGTTCCCTCTTTAGCCATGGGGTTTCTTGTTCTCCAGATATCAACTAAGTCCAAGTTGTCTGTCATCTCAAAAAAGGTTTTCGGTAGTCTACCATCCTTAGTGACTACCTGTCTTTGTGTCTTGTCCATATGTGTAGATACCACTCCATTCATGTCTCCCATCAAAATCATGTTGTAATCCAAATAGTCCATCAAAGTCTCATGCAACTTCTTAAAGAAATCAGATTTCCCTTCATTTGGTGCGTAAATTCCTACTATCAAAAATTTTTCTCCTTGTGTTTGAATTTCAATTGCCACAAATCTTCCTTGGTCATCTTTAAAAATAAATTTCGGTGATATTCTGTCCTTTGCATAAATCACAACCCCTCTTTTTTTAACTTTATCCGATGAAATAAACTCCTGACCAAGTCTTTTATTTATCAATAATTTCCTGTGTAATCTTGTAATATGTGTTTCTTGTAAACAGATCAAGTCCAATTGTTCCTTTTTTAATAAATGAAACACAGATTTCCTTTTCTGAGGGGAATTGAGGCCATTACAATTCCAGCTTAGTAGTTGCAGGGCCATGATGTAATTATTTTGGTTCTCCTCCAACAGCACCTAGTGCCTGTTCCTGTTCCGTCGGTGGTATCACGTTTTTCAGGCGGTCTTTTAGTTCCAGAGATAGTCCTGGTGTGTCTAAAGTTTCTCTTACAATTGCTCTTAACTCTCCTGTAGCTTTCTTCTGTAGGTCTTCTCCGTGGTCTCTCCAAAATTTGTCTTTGTCGTCTTCCGATCTTATTTTCCTCTTCTTTCCTTTGTAACTAAAGGATAGGCCTTGAGGAAATTCCCACCTAAAGTTAATTCTGTTACTTCTCAACAGGGTAACCAGGTCTTTGTAGTTAGACCTGAGATCCAGAAGGTGTTTCGGAATGTCCTTAAATATCTCCACTTTTGACTGTTGTATTTCCAGTGTCTTCTGGAAATGCAAACTCAAAATCTTGTCTCTCTGTTTTGTTCGGAGAGTGATCAAACAATCTCTCACCTTCTTTCCCCCTCCTTTTCCAAGTCTAAAAGCATTCACTATTTTAAAACTGTCTTTCCCCAAATCTGGATTCCAAAAATCTAAGAATTCCTGTGTAAGAAAATCAACTAAGTTGTCTTTCTCCACTTCAGGTACAGCTCTGACCCTTAAGTTCACTTGTTTCTCCTTCAACTCGATCATAGACAGGGTTGACTTATGGTCTTCAAGTTGTTTATGTAGCGGTGGTATCTTCTCTTGAACCTCTGCAACAGTAGCTGTAGCAATTTCTTTAGCCTCTTCGGCAATCTGACGTGTTGAGGCAGATTCCTGTAATAGTTTCTGAATAGTTTCTGTATTAGTATTTACTTTCTGTCCCAAATTATTGATGCTTGCTGTATTTTGATTAATACGTGTTGTATTTTGATCAATCTTATCTGATGCCTCTGCTACTTGTTTACTTATTCTATCCAAAGATTCATTAATTTTAGCCAGTGCCTGAGCAAGGGCATCATCACTTGCCATACCTTTAGTTTTAGGTTGTGCCGATGAGGTTGCTATTGGAACCCCAGGGGGGCCAGATGTCGAGGCTCTCCTTTGCAATCCACCGTCTGTACGATATAGTCTGCCAGACCTTGTTGCTTGTAACGAGTCTAACTTCTCTTTCCCATCTGCCATACCCCTCTAGATAAAACTCAAGGTCAGTCACACGGTTAGATTCAAAGTTGTTTTGAAATGGAAAGTTCCAGGAAAACAGTGTGAGAAATTCCTCAGGCCAGCTGCAGTTGTAACTAGTTGTAACAAGTTCCAAATTCCACTAGGGGGACACTGTTACAGTCATAAAGTTCTTAAAGTAATTTACTTCTTCCTTAAGTCCCCCAGTTCACCAGAAAGATAACAGTCTATCTTAAACAGTTACTTTAGGGCCAGGAGATACCTATCAACAATATTGTATCCAAGTTATATTTCAGATGCAGGACTAGCTGTCAAAATACGTTCAAAGACAGTACATTCTCTCCGACTTTTTCCTGTCACTGGGAACCCATTCCAGGGGGTTTGAGCAGTGGTTTTTATCTCCTCTTTCTCACTTCTTCTTAGGGAAATAAGGTTCAAAACTTCCCCCCCTCTTCCCCCAAATTGAGGGGGGGGGGGAAATCCCGGTTAGATGATCGGATTGTAATCCTTTTATGCTCTTTTAAAGCTTCCGCTTTCAAGTTCAATGCTTTGTTCTATCTACAAGAGCGGGAGGCAGACTTCCCTTTTATACCTCTCCGCTTCGGCCAATTACTTTCATATTTTGTACAGTTCCTTAATTACGTAGTAATCCTACTCACGGATCGTTGTTTTCAAAGCCAAATTGTCAAGGAAGAAAGGCAGCGCTCTCCGGCAACAGCTACGCGGCTTCACTCCACAGAAGAAGCAGACGACTCACAGCACAGCACCACTTCCCCGCTCCGTTCCGGAGCCCGTTGCCGGGTTCCTTCACCGATTGGGGGGGCGCAAACAGTGCCCGCCGAGTCCCAGGTTCACAGGCTTCACCCGCCTGTGATTTCAGGGGTCCCCGCTGCGCCGAAGCGGTATCCGACCCTGTTTCTGTGGAGCGGGTTCCCTCCGAGTTAGAGGTTGGCGCCACCTCCGGAAGCCCTGGTAATCCTGAATTCTCCATCTAAAAGTTTTTCCCTCATATCCTTTTATTTCAAATTTTATTGCACTATGGTCTGAAATTACTCTTGGTTGAATTTCTATATCTAATATTCTTGGAGTCAATTCATTAGAGACCCATACTTGATCTATTCTTGACATTGACTGATTTGGTTCAGAATGGAATGTGAACTCTTTTCCTAACGGATGTCTAAGCCTCCAGATGTCTATCAAATTACAATTCTTTGTCATTGAGAAAAAAGTCTTAGGTAATTTTCCATCCTTACTCGTCCCTGTTGCTCTCAGCCTATCCATTTCCATTGACACAACTCCATTCATGTCTCCCATTATTATAATCTTTTGGTCCATATATTCAAACAATTTTTCTTCTAGATTTTTGTAAAAATCAGTCTTATTACCATTGGGTGCATAGATCCTGTAATAAATGTAGGGGTTGCTCGTGCGCAAGTTGGTGCCACTCCTGGCTAGGTTGCCTTGTTAAACCTTTTCTGTCTGGACAGCCCCTGCACTTCGTGGCTGTTCATTCGCTAGCAGAATCCGTCAGTGGGTGTTTCTTAAACCTTTTCCAGCATAAAAGTGGTTTGACTCCAAGTCTCCTCCTACTCTCCCTGCGCGGAAGTCTTCTGCGCAGGGAGGGCGTGGGTAGTGGAGGACCCATGCTCTCCTCGCTGATCTCCGGCGAGGAGTCCTGGAGCCCTCTCGCCGATTCCCCCATCTGCCCCCCTTTATCCCTGGTGTTACGCTGATTTCTTTCCCCAGCTGGTGAGCCGCCTCTCCCCCTGCTGGGCCCCTCTCCAGCATCGCTCGAGAGCCTAGCCTCCGCCTCTGGCTCCGATGTCAGTTCCCTGACATCCACCTCCCCCCCAGGACCCCCTTCACCCCCGGCCTGACCTTTTGATCCAACTTCGTCCCTTTCCTCGGCCGACGATGCGGAGAATCCCCGGAAGGAGCTGTCGCCATCCTCTGAGGATTCAAAACCCGCTTCCCACCCGCTCTGATCTCTCCCTGCGGGGTGGGCCTCCCAGTCTGATTCTTCTTCCTCCGAAGCCTCTCCTCCCTCCTCTTCGGAGGCAGAAAAACCCACAAAATCCTCTTCATCGTCTGTGGTTCCAAATTGCTCCTCCCAGAATCTCGCTAGTGGCTTGGGTTTGTCCGGGAACAGGCTGTGGAATTCCTCCACAAGATACCCATCATTGATTGCCTCCGCGGGAACCCACGTGTTTTCCGACCCGGGTTCTCCCTCCCAAGCTACCAGGTACTCCACCTGGCGCCCTCGCCACCTTGAATCGAGTATTTCTGTGGCCCAGTTGTGGTGTTCCCTCTCCTCTATCTGCGGGTGTGTGGTGACTTCGCCTTCCCGCCCCGGGACTCCCCGCCACTCCCTGTACGGTGAGAGTAGGGACCTATGGAACACCGGGTGTATCTTCATGTTGTCCGGCAACCTGAGCTTGAATGCCACGGGGTTCACCTGCTGTGTTACCTCAAACGGCCCCAGCCGCCTTGGCTGCAACTTCTTGCACCCCCCCTTAAAGGGTAACCCTTGGGTTGACAACCACACCCGGTCCCCCACCCGTATGGTGCTTGTCTGCCTGCCTCTTGTAAATTTCCTTGGCCCGTTCTAAGTTCATCTTAAGTTGCTGGTGCAGGGCCTCCATTTCTTCCACAAACTGCTCTGCCGCTGGTATGCTCCACCCTTCCTCCCCACTCCCCGGGAAGGCCCTGGGGTGACACCCATAATTGGCCATGAACGGGCTCATTCCCGTGGACACATGTTCAGCGTTATTGTACGCAGATTCAGCCAGCGCTAGTTTCTCTACCCAATCGTTCTGCCTCTCGCTGACGTAGCAGCGTAGGTATTGCTGGAGTACACTGTTCGCTCTTTCTGCTTGCCCGTTGGTTTCCGGGTGTCTCGCTGTCGAGAAGCTCACCTCTACCTGCAGCAAGCTCATGAGCTTCCTCCAGAACTGGGAAGTAAATTGTTTTCCGCGATCTGAGACGACCCTCGAGGGAGCCTCATGCAACCTGAAGATGTGATCCACAAACAACTTGGCTGTCTCCTCTGCGGTCACCGCATGTGAACAAGCTATGAAATGGCACATCTTTGTCAATAGATCGACTACTACCATGACTGCTGTCTTCCCCCTGGACTTGGGCAAATCGGTCATAAAATCAATGGACACCACTTCCCAGGGTCTTCCCGGCGTGGGTAAGGGTTCCAGTAGCCCTGCGGGGGCAGCCCTTTCCCCCTTTGCCCTTTGGCAGCGGTCGCACCCCCGTACATATTCCCGTACATCCTCCCTCACCCTTGGCCACCAGAACTGCCTGGTGACGAGCAGCATGGTTTTGTGCTGTCCAAAGTGCCCAGCTGTGGGGTTGTCGTGGAGTTGTTTGAGTACCTTCCCTCTCAGGGTCTCCCCCGGTACATACAGCGCCCCCTATAGTACAGCACCCCTTCCTTTTCCTCAAAACCCCCATGGTTTTCTCTTCCGTCTCGGAGTTCCCTGATTTTACTTTGGGCGAACATGTCGTTTCTAGTAAGCCCGGCCAGTTCTCGTTTCCCAACCAAGGCTCCCCCACACACCCATCGGTCCTCGGGGATCACGTGTCATATCTCCGGCGGTCCCTCTCCTTCCATGTACTCTGGCTTCCTGGAGAGAGCATCTGCTCTTACGTTTCCCTCTCCCGGCACATATCGGATCTCGAAGGAAAACTTGGAGAACTCCTGTGCCCATCTAATCTGTCTCTGGTTGAGTACTCGCGCGGTCCTCCAGTATTCCAAGTTCTTGTGATCAGTACAAACCTGGATCTTGTGCTGCGCCCTATTAACAGATGTCTCCATCGGCGAAACGCCGCATAGATCGCCAGCAGTTCGCGGTCATACACCGTATAGTTTTGCTCCGACTTGCTCAGCTTCCTCGAGAAAAAGGCACACGGCTTCCATTCCTGCTTGCTCCTCCCTGGCTGCAAAAGTACTGCCCCAATGGCTCTGTCGGACGCCTCGGTCTCTAGCCTCATGGGTTTCTCCAGATCAACGTGTAGGAGCTGCTCTTCCGAAGCGAATGCCTTCTTCAGTCTTTCAAAGGATTGCTGGGCACTTTCTGTCCAGGCGAACTTCCTTTTGCTACTGAGACAATCTGTGATGGGCGCCGTTAAGTGGGCGAAGTTCTTGATGAACTTCCTGTAGAAGTTGCTGAACCCTAGGAACCTCTGCACATCCTTCCGGGTTTGGGGGCTTTCCATTCCAGCACTGCCTGCACCTTGCTTGGGTCCATAGCCAGTCCCTTGTCTGACAACTTGTACCCCAGAAACTCGACCTTTCTGGAGTGGAATTGGCATTTTTCCAGCTTGACCCACAACTGGTGCTTCTGCAGCCTCTCTAGCACTTCCCTGACGTCTCTGACATGTTGCTTCTCATTGTTTGAATAGATTAAGACGTCGTCCAAGAAGGCTACGCAGTTCTTGTACAGCAGGGGACCCAACACGTGGTGCATGAATGCTTGGAAGCAGGCGGAGCCCGATTGTAATCCAAATGGCATGACTAAGTACTCAAAAGCCCCCAGGGGGGTGAACATGGTGGTTTTCCATTCGTCCCCCTCCCTTACCCTGATCAAATTGTACGCTCCCCTGAGGTCCAGCTTGGTAAAAATTTTCCCCTGCCTCACCCGTGTTAAAATGTCGTCAATCCTGGGCATTGGGAAGGTCACGGGTTCTGATACCAAATTTAACGCCCTGTAATCTACGACTAATCTGGGCTGGTTAGTCCCTTTTTTGTCCACAAAGAACACCGGACTGCCCCCCACCGCTTTTGATTCCCTTATGAACCCCATCTTCAGATTCTTGTCAATAAACTGCCGTAATTCCTGCATCTCCCGGTCCGACATGGCATACAGCTTACCCACCGGCAGCTGAGCCCCTGGGATTAAGTTGATTTGGCAGTCAAAGGGCCTATGGGGGGTAGTCTGTCCGCCTCCTTCTCGCTGAAGACTTCCTTTAGGTCAGCATATGGTGGTGGCACCTCTCCCTTTGTTTCCACCGCCAGCCCAGCCACCCTAGCCACTGTCATTCTTGGGGTTTCCCCCCCAGACAGTGTTCCAAACAGTAAGCTTACCCAAAGGTGACTGACCGCTGATGCCATGACACTACTGGATCATGCAGTGCCAGCCAGCTCATTCCCAGTATTATTGGGGTCCTGCCAGTGTGGCCACGTGAAAGGCAATGGTCTCCGTGTGCCTGGAAACCCTCATTCGCATTGGCGGGGTCTGGTGTGTCACTTCCCTCCCAGAAGTTCCCTGCCATCGATGGTGGTCACTTGCAAGGGAAAATCCAGGGGTAGCAAGTGTATTTGGTGCTCCAAAGCGAAGTCCCTGCTAAAGAAATTGCAGGAGCTGCCCGAATCCAGCAGCTCCTCAACCTTGACTGGGTGCCCATTCGGGAGTTCTAGCACCACTGCTATGGCTATCGCTGCCCTGGGGGGTTCAGGCTGGGGCACTTCTATTGGTTGCTGGCCTGGCTGCTGGCCCCTTTGGTTGGCAGCCAGGCACTGTCGTTTCCCTCCTGCATCCCTTTGGAACCTTCCCTCCGCCTCTAGCTCCAATGGCAGTTCCCTGACAGAGCCTTCCCAGGCCGCAGAGCCAATGGAAATCGATGGAGCGTGCGTGTGCGAAGTTTCAAACGCCAGTGATGCCCGGAAAAAGGAGGGGAAGGAGTGGAAAACTACCAAAAAGTGTTTCCTTTGTCAGCGGCCAGGACATTTTGCGAAGGTCTGTCCCCAACGAAAGGCCTGGCAAGGCATGATGGGGACAGCAGACCACGATGAGGAGGGGGAGAAGGGGCCGGTGCAGGGAAACGAAAAAGCCTGGCTGCCGACCAACAGGGGCAGCAGCCAGGCCAGCGACCAGTAGAAGTGCCCCGGCCTGACCCTCCCAAGGCAGCTATAGCCATTGAAGTGGTGCTAGAACTCCCAAATGGGCACCCAGTCAAGGTGAATAGTCTGCTGGATTCTGGGTCCTCATGTAACTTCTTCAGTAGAGACTTCGCCCTGGAGCACCAGCTCCACCTGTTGCCCCTAGATTTCCCCTTGCAGGTGACCACCATTGATGGCAGGAAACTACTGGGGGGGGGGGTGACACACCAGACACCGCCAATGCGGATGAGTGTTTCCAGGCACACAAAAACCATTGCCTTTCACGTGGCCACGCTGGCAGGACCCCCAATAATACTGGGAATGAGCTGGCTGGCACTACATGACCCAGTGGTGTCATGGCATCAGCGGTTGCTCACCTTTGGGTCAGCTTACTGCTTAGAACACTGTCTGGGAGGGAAGGAACCAAGAATGACTGTGGCTGGGGTGGCCCTGGAGGAAAAAGGGCGGGTGCCACCACAATATGCAGATTTGAAGGAGGTCTTCAGCAAGAGAGAGGCAGACAGACTGCCCCCCCACAGGCCATTTGACTGCCAAATCAACCTGCTTCCAGGGGCCCAGTTACCGGTGGGTAAGCTGTATGCCATGTCCGACCGGGAGATGCAGGAGTTGAGGCAGTTTATTGACAAGAACTTGAAGAGAGGTTTCATAAGGGAATCGAAGGCGGTGGGGGGAAGTCCAGTGTTCTTTGTGGACAAAAAAAACACCAATCAGCCCAGATTAATTGTGGATTACAGGGCCATAAACCTGGTGTCAGAACCCGTGGCCTTCCCAATGCCCAGGATTGACGATATTTTGACACGTGTGAGGCAGCGGAAGATTTTTACCAAGCTGGACCTCAGGGGGGGCAAACAATCTGATTAGAATAAGGGAGGGGGACGAATTGAAAACGACCATGTTCACCCCTCTGGGGGCTTTTGAGTATTTAGTTATGCCATTTGGATTACAATCGGGATCCACCTGCTTTCAATCCTTCATGCACCATGTGTTGGGGGCCCTGCTGTACAAGAATTGCGTGGCCTTTTTGGATGACGTCTTAATCTATTCGGAGAATGAAACGCAACACGTCAGAGATGTCAGGGAGGTGCTACGGAGATTGAAGAAGCATCAGTTGTGGGTCAAGCTGGAAAAATGCCAATTCCACGCCAGGGAGGTCGAGTTTCTGGGGTACAGGTTGTCAGACAAAGGACTGGCCATGGACCCAGGCAAGGTGAAGGCAGTGCTGGAATGGAAGGCCCACAAAAACAGAAAGGATGTGCAGAGGTTCCTAGACTTCAGCAACTTCTACAGGAAGTTCATAAAGAACTTCGCTCACTTGACAGCGCCCATAACGGATTGTCTTAGTAGCAAAAAGAAGTTCGCGTGGACAGAGGATGCGCAGCAATCCTTTGAGAAACTGAAGAAGGCGTTCGCCTCGGAAGAGCAGCTCCTGCACGTGGATCCGGAGAAACCCATGAGACTGGAGACGGACGCGTCCGACCGCACGACTGGAGCGGTACTTTTGCAACCCGGGTCCAAGGAGAACTGGAGACAGTGTGCCTTTTTCTCTAGGAAGCTGAGCAAGTCGGAGCAAAACTACACGGTGTATGACCGAGAACTGCTTGCGATCTATGCAGCATTTCAGCAATGGAGACATCTTTTGATAGGGGAGCGGCACAAGATCCAGGTCCGAACTGACCACAAGAACTTGGAATACTGGCGGACCGCGCAAGTGCTCAACCAGAGACAGATCAGATGGTCCCAGGAGTTCGCCAAGTTTTTCTTTGAGGTACAATACGTGCCGGGAGGGGGAAATGTGAGGGCGGATGCACTCTCCAGGAAACCGGAATACATGGAAGGGGAGGGGCCACTGGAGACCAGGCACGTGTTCGCCGAGGATCGGTGGGTGTGTGGGGGAGCGTTGGTAGGGAAACGAGAGCTAGCAGGGCTCACCAGAGATGATGAGTTTGCTCAGACTAAAATCAGGGAGCTCAGAGACGGAAAGGAAGACAATGGGGGGTTTGAGGAAAAGGAAGGGCTACTGTACTACAAGGGGGCGCTGTATGTACCAGGAGAGACTTTGAGGAGGAAGATACTTAGACAGCTCCATGACAACCCAACAGCTGGGCACTTTGGACAGCACAAGACCATGCTACTTGTCACCAGGCAGTTCTGGTGGCCAAAGGTGAGGGAAGACGTACAAGAATATGTACGAGGGTGTGACCAATGCCAGAGGGCAAAGGGGGAAAGGACTGCCCCCGCAGGGTTACTGGAACCCTTACCTACACCGGAAAGGCCCTGGGAGGTGGTGTCCATTGATTTTATGACAGATCTGCCCAAGTCAAGGGGAAAGACAGCGGTCATGGTAGTGGTCGATCTACTGACTAAAATGTGCCATTTCGTAGCTTGCTCGCATGCAGTGTCAGCAGAGGAGACAGCCAGGCTGTTTGTGGACCACATTTTTAAACTGCATGGCACCCCATTGAGGGTAATCTCAGATCGCGGAAAACAATTTACCTCCCAGTTCTGGCGGAGACTCATGAGCTTGCTGCAGGTCGAGGTGAGCTTCTCGACGGCGAGGCACCCAGAAACCAACGGACAGGCCGAAAGACTGAACGGTATACTCCAGCCGTACCTACGCTGCTATGTCGGCGAGAGGCAGAATGATTCGGTAGAGAAATTAGCTTTGGCTGAATTTGCGTACAATAACGCTGAACACGTGTCCACGGGAATAAGCCCTTTCATGGCCAATTACGGGTGTCACCCCAGGGCCTTCCCGGGGCAGGGGGAGGAAGGATGGAGAGTACCTGTGGCTGAGCAATTTGCTGAGGAAATGGAGGCCTTACACCAGCAACTCAGGCTGAACTTGGAGCGGGCCAAAGAAGTTTACAAGAGGCAGGCAGACAGGCACCGTTGGGAGGGGAGGCCATACGGGTGGGGTTGTCATCCCAAGGGTTGCCCCTAAAGGGAGGGTGCAAGAAGTTGCAGCCTAGGCGACTGGGGCCTTTTGAGGTAATACAGCAGGTTAACCCAGTGGCATTTAAACTCAGGTTGCCCGACAGCATGAAGATACATCCGGTGTTCCATAGGTTTCACATTACAGGGAGGGGCGGGAATTCCCGGGACGGGAGGGAGGGGTTACCACCCACCCGCGGGTAGAGGAGAGGGAACACTGTAACGAAGCTACGGAAATAGTCGATTCGAGGTGGCGAGGTCACCAGGTAGAGTACTTGGTAGCCTGGGAGGGAGAACCCAGTTCTGAAAACACTTGGGTCCCTGCTGAATCAATCACTGACGGGTATCTGGTGGAAGAGTTTCATGGTTTGTTTCCGGGTAAGCCCAAACCATTAGCTAGATTCTGGGAGGAAGAATTTGGACCCACAGATGATGAAGGGGACTTTGTGGGTTTCCCTGCCTCCGAAGAGGAGGGAGGGGAGGTGTCCGAGGGAGAAGAATCAGACTGGGATGTTCAACCAGCTGGAAGAGATCCGAGGGGGTGGGAGGCTGGTTTTGAATCCTCAGAAGATGATGACAGTTCTTTCAGGGGATTCCCCGCATCGTCAGTCGAGAGAGAGGAGGATGTATCGGAAGATCGCGCCAGGGGTGAGGGGGGTCCTGAGGAGGGGGTGGATGTCAGGGAACTGCCATCAGTGCCGGAGGGAGAGAGCAAAAGCCAGAGGGATTCCAGAGAGTGTCCAGGGATCGGGAGAAGCAGCCCATCTTCTGGGGAAGAGAATCAGCGTAGCACAAGTGGAGAAGGGGGGCAGATGGGGGAAGCGGCGAGGCGGTCCCATGACTCCTTGCCTGGGACCAGCGGGGAGAGTAGGGGTCCTCCGTTGCCCACGCCCTCCTTGCGCAGAAGGCTTTCGTGCAGAGAGGGTAGGAGGAGACTAGGCGTCAACGAGCTTCTTTGCTGGAAGAAGTTTAAGAAACGCCCACTCACGGATTCTGCCAGCGACTGAGTCAGCCATGGGCGAGTGGCGTCCGGACAGATAAAGTTTACTTTGGCAGCCCAGCCAGGTGTTTGCACCCAGCCAGGGAGATAGTTCCCTGCTTGCGCATGAGCAACACCTTAGAAACCACAACAGAGCCTCTCCTTTCCATCGGTGTTCCCCCCTCGCTCACTTTCTTCTGTAAATGAGTCATTTTAATTATGCACTCTCCAAAACCCTTCCTAATCCTTCCCAAATGACCAGCAATAAGAAAACAGTTACACCAGCACGTAGAGAGAGGAAGGATCCAACACCTCTCAAAACAGTGGATATATTCTTCTTGACACTTTCGTAGCCACTGACTTCCGATTCCAACAATATCCCAGACTTTATATATTTAAAGTTTTAGAATTATATATTCCACTTATAACTTATAATATTCCACTTATAACCCGCAAAACCAGAATAGAAAAAAAATAACCAAAGAGCAGATCTTCTTGCCTCTTGGATGGCTAAAGAGTCCAAATTTTCGACAATGTAGAAATAAAAAATAAAAAATTATCTTCTTGCCACCAATTAGGCTACTCCACCGTTCCGACAGATGTATAAAATAAATTTATTCCATGATCAAATTGTATTTTTAACTCCAAATATTAAGTTTTTAAAACCAACTACTGAGCCACAGGTAAAGGAGATATATATGTATATAAAAAAATATTAGCCAAATTATATCATGAATAAAAGTAGTTATGTCCAAAGATCCGAGCCAGATACTCCCCTAAAAAGCAGCCAAATATTTCCCAACCGCAACAAAGAAGCAGTGCTGTAAAGCTGTAAAACACTTCCTTCGCCTCCACAAAGAGCTTTGAACTGGAGGTGGGTGGGGTAGTCTTGCAGTTCTATAACTTAAATTCTCAGCAGCTTTCAAATAGTACCTATTCTGGTAAGATCATAAAACAATATAAAACAGCCAAAATATATTTTGACAGATTGTCCAATCTTCCCTCAATTGCTGCTAAAAAGGTTTTTTTCCCTTTCTTTAAAGCAAAAAATGGAGACTCAAAAGTTCTATTTTCGTTACGCAGTTTTTTTAAAAAGCGAAACTAAAAGGGGAGCCTTTCCAATCCTTCCTTAAACTCCAGCCGTTCTTTCAAAGACCCTTCAAAATTTGCAAGATAGTAACCCTCTGCTTCCTCTTTTGTCCTTAGTTTAATTGTTTCAGTTTAACTCCCTAGCAAGTTGTTTAGCATGAGAAAGATTAAAAAGCCGCTTGCGGTACTCACAATCCACTCTCCACAGTTCCGCCAATATTCTTGCGTCTAAGTTCAATTTCAGATGAAGCTGACCTCCGCTTTTACTTCATCTTATCCAAATCTTTTCTTCATTTTAAAGCCAATTTGTATCCATTTTAAGATCGAATTTCTTGCTGTTTGAGAATCGGTCGCTCACCCTGCAAGCCTGGGGCTGCGCTTTCGGAGGAGAGATAATGGCTTCCCGTTGCCAGCTTCCTCACTCCGCCGTACTCCTCACTCCTTTTACAGAGCTACCTGACGGCCGGGTGGTCTGCAATTTGGCTTCGCTGGGAAACCACATTGTCAGGAAAGCGCTATTTAATGTTTGGCTAAGATATAAGGATTTGTTAGAAAACAAAACCCCAAGGTGGCTGTCACCAATGGAAGCGAAAGCCTTGAAAAAGGTCAATATGGAGGTCAAATGGCCGAAATATTGGGAAATTTTGGAACAAGATGGAGATAGATTGAAATTGCAGAGTTTTGAAAAACTAAAAAACAAAGTGCGAGACTGGCTTCATTATTATCAGATAATGGAGGTATTTAAATTGGACAGGAAAATTGGCTTCCAGGTGGAAAGATCCAAATTAGAAACAGAATTGTTAGAACCCAAGACTAAGAATTTGTCAATAATGTATAACTTGCTGCTGAAATGGAACACTCAGGATGAAACGGTAAAATCGGCTATGATTAAATGGGCACAGGACGTTGGACATAACATTATGTTTGCTGACTGGGAACAGTTATGGACCACAGGTATGAAATTTACGGCATGTAATGCCTTAAGAGAGAATATTATGAAAATGATATACAGGTGGTACATAACCCCAGTCAAGCTTGCGAAAATCTATCACTTGCCCGATAACAAATGTTGGAAATGTAAAGAAACTGAAGGTACATTTTTCACCTTTGGTGGACGTGCCCAAAGATTAAGGCTTTCTGGGAAATGATATATAATGAATTAAAAAGGTATTTAAGTATACCTTCCCTAAGAAACCAGAGGCCTTTCTCCTGGGCATAGTGGGCCAAATGGTGTTAAAAAGGATAGAACTTTCTTTATGTATGCAACAACAGCAGCAAGAATACTCATCGCAAAGTATTGGAAGACACAAGAACTTCCCACGCTGGAGGAATGGCAGATGAAACTGATGGACTATATGGAACTGGCGGAAATGACTGGTAGAATCCGTGACCAGGGAGAAGAGTTGATGGAGGAAGATTGGAAGAAATTCAAAGACTACCTTCAGAAACACTGTAAAATTAAGGAATGTTAGAGTGATGTTGGACTGAAAACAAGAGGTTTCCAGCTGTACAGGTTAAAGTTAATGATAGACTAAGATTAAAGATTAAGATTAAAGATGTTTAAAGAAATGGAAATTTGATATTAAGAGGGAAAATTTTAATGGTATATGATATTAAGACCAAGGATTAGGTTTAAAGAAGTTGAAGTTATATATTATAATATTTTATTAAATTAAAGATTGGGATTAAAAAGTGGAAAAGAAACTGCTGGACAAATAAATTTGGATGGGAATGTTGGGTGTAGTGAAGGGTTAACCTTCTGTGTCTCGAGGCTGAGAGGAGGCGCTTACAAGGGAAGTAAGCCAGGACGTGACGAAAGCAGCTTGGAATGCTGTGAGCTGAGTGAAAAGTGAAAGCAGCTTAGTTGCGCAGCTGCAACTGAGAGAGAAAGACACAGAAATGCAGCTTGAATCAGATGGATTGTAAATATGCTATTTTTGAGCAAATAAAGTGCTACTAGAAAAGAAGAAACGGGTGGGACTTCTTTCACTGCCTTTTCAACACGGACGCTGTGCAATTCTGCTAATTGCTTTACGACCTGCAGAGGAGTGCAGGGGAGCGTGCCGGACGCCAAGAATAAAGCAATAAATCTACCTAACATGGTTATGGACATGGTTATGGGTCAACGTGAAGCGTGAGGAAGGGCTTTGAAGCTTTATCTGCTGATCGTCAGCTTGATCGACTGCTGGAGACTTCAAGGGGCAGATCGGAGGAGGCTGACAGGAGTGGGGGCCAAGAGCCATGACGTCCAGACTTCCCAGTTTGGCTGAGTGAGAACCCTTTGGGAAAAGCCAACAGAAGGGGGCAATGGCTCAGCCCTGTGAACATGGCTTTGAGTTTAAACTGCCATGTCAGAGACTGACTAGCCAAAATTGGCTGCAGTGGAGCTTTCAAGTGGAGCTTTTGCTAGTTGGGGAGCAGCTGTGGAATGTAATACACCCCACACAGAATGCAGCTGGGAAAGCAGAGGCTAACAGGGCTGCAGAGCAAAGTGAAGTGGAGAAGTGTGTGCTTGCTTTTTTGGCAGAAAGTGTGGATGCTCATCTGGTGCCTGTTGTCCTGGGTGCAAGAAGGCCAGAGGCCGCTTGGCTAGCACTCCAAGAAGCTTGTGGAGCTGGAGTGGGAAGCAAGGGCCGAGAAGGGGCTGCATCCGAAAGGGAGAGGCAAGATGGCGCCGGCCACATTCTTGAGTGCCGATGCACAGCTGGGAGGAGCTGTGAGCCCCCACAGGGGGGCGAAGGGACTGTTGCTGTTGTTGTTGCTAGCAATGCTGCTTGTGCTTTTGCTGAGCCTGGGAGCTGTGTGGATGCTGCAACGTGTCTGTGTGAGGAGCCTGAAGAGAGGCCAAGTGTTGGGAGCCCTTTATCCATCAGAGGGGGTGCAGAAAAACGTCCTCGAGACCCCGTGAGCAGTGGGGGGGCAGTGAGCAGTGAAAGCTCAGAGACGCCTCTTTCTCCAAAAGCTGCCAAGAGTTGTTTACGTCGTGAGTCGGAGCCTGGGAAGCTGAAAAGTGCTAGAGGCTTCAAGGTCAGCCACCTGCAGCAAGTAGAGATAAGAGCTTCAGAGTTGTGTGGGAACGCCGAGACAAGTCCAGTCTCCATGGCAACTGAGAGAGTTGCATCTACGGAAGCTGTGAAGGTCGTGGGCAAGTCTTCCTGCCGGGGGGAGTCTGTTGCCGTGACAACCAGAGAGGACATCTGCAGAAGCCCCAAGGAGGGGGGTAGTGAGGAGATTGTTGCCCTGGCGACCCAGGAATGTAAACAACAAGACTTTCTCACTATAATAATAGACTCTGGTGCCTCAAATTCGTTGGTGCCATCTGCTGATCTTTTGAGGAATTGCAGGACAGTAAAAACTGAGAAGTTTGTTAAGTTTGCAGATGGAAGCAGAAAAAAGGCTGACAGAAACAGGACTGTTCTTCTGTCCTTTCCTTAAGCATGAAGTCAAAGCTTATGCAGTGCCCGGTTTAACTAACTGTTTGTTAAGTGTGCATGATCTATTGATCGATGGTTTTCAAATTTCTTTTGCAGGTGACAAATGTGAATTTTCCAAGGATGGGAAACACGTGTACACAGTGCAGTCTAAAGATAATTTGTTTGCTGTAAATGTGCCTTTTTCCACAGGAGAGGATGACACCGAAGATGCGAAGGGCCAATGTGTGAATGTAGCACCCCACAATGGTTGTTCACATATTTGGCACAGACGCTTCGCTCATTTGAATTGGAGATATCTCCAGAAAGCACCAGAGCTGACACAAGGGTGCAAATTTAATGTTTGTGACAAATTTCTAGATTGCAATGCATGTAAACAGGCGAAAGTTGTGACATGCTCATATCCAAAGTCAGAGAGGCAGACCACACAACCCTTTGAATTAATTCATGCAGATTTGTGTGGACCCATGTCTGTTGAGTCACTGGGAGGTTCAAAGTATTCTTTGCTTTTGATTGATGATTTTTCGAGGTCTGCTTGGACCTTCTCTCTGAAAACGAAAGGGGAGGCGGCTAAAATGATCAGGGATTGGATCACCGCAGTTGAGGTAACGTTTTCCACCAAAGTTTGTGGTTTTCAAAGTGACAGAGGTGCTGAATTCACTGGTTCTGCTTTACAGGATTTCTTTAGGGAGAAGGGGATTAGCCACAGACTGACCGCTCCTTACTCTCCGCAACAGAATGGGGTCGCAGAGAGAAAGAACAGGACGGTGCAGGAAGCTGTGTCTGCGATCCTGTGGGACGCAGGGCTACCCCAGAAATATTGGTCGGAGGCTTGGCGATATGTGGTCCATACCGAGAACAGAGTGTACAACTCTAGTGTAGGAAATACACCGTATTTCTTACTTCATGAAGAGAAATCCAAGGTACACTACCTTCGTGTGTTTGGTTGTGAGGCTTGGGTGCTTATTCCAAAGGCTCTACGCAAGAAAGGTGAGCCAAGATCTAGAAGAATGATCTTTGTAGGGTATGAGCCTGGCTCAAAGGCCTGGCGGTTTGCGTACCCAAGTGGAGACCAGTCTAGGTTGGTTATCAGCAATAGCGCTGAGTTCTGTGAGCAAGCTGGTTGGAAACGTCTGCACGCCAATCCAGACGTGCTTCCACAGCAGTTCTATGACTCAGATGTTGAGGAGGAAGAGGAACTTGTTGCTGGGGACCACGGTCCAGAGCAACAGAGTCCAAGGCAGGGACAGCTCAGGATCCCTCAGAGGGGGGAACCTAGAACACCTCCTCAGGCAAGTGTCAAGTTTGAGCCAAAGAGTGAGCCTTCTTCACCTGCTGGACCAGCTGTAAGGCCCAAGAGGCGCAGCAGGTCAGAGGGGAAGACACTGAAGTTGAGGATGATTTAGCTGGACCCAGTGAAGCGGCAGGGTCACCAAGAGTCACACTGAGGAGATCAGCGAGGACAAGGAGGCCTCCTGATCGGTACGGCGCTTCAGGCGTCTGGGTAGGTTCTGCAAGATGTGAACCTGAATCCTTCGAGGATATTCAGAGTTTACCTGAGGAAGAAGCAGGCAAGTGGCACAGGGCAATGGACAAAGAGATGAAGTCCATGAAAGGTCTAGGTGTCAATGTTGAGCGTACACAGGATGGAAGTTTTTTGCTCAGCCAGAGAGGTAAAATCGAGCAATTGCTTCAGAAAATGAGGATGAGTGATTGTGCAGGAATGAGAAGTCCTATGGAGACTAGTTTTGTGAAGGACTGCCAGCAAGTAGAACGTGCTGCGTTCGAAAATACTGAAGTGTTTCAATCAGCTCTAGGGAGTTTGTTGTACTTGTCCCAGTGGAGCAGACCTGATATAGCGTTTGCTGTCAATCTGCTCAGCAGGAAGGCATCAAACCCTAGTGTGCAAGCCTGGAATGGCATCAAGAGAGTTCTGAGGTATTTGCAGGAGACCAAAGACTTTTGTCTTAAGTTGCCAGCACAAGGAGAAGTGAAACTGACTTGCTTTGTGGACTCGGATTGGGCTAATCTTGAGGATCGCAAGTCTGTGTCTGGCCTAGTGGTGAAGTTTGGGAACTCAGTAGTTGGATGGAGGTCCAAGAAGCAAAGTCTTATAGCGCTCTCATCCACTGAGGCTGAGTTTAGTGCTCTTTCAGAGATGTGCAGAGAAGTAGAGTTCTATGCTTGTTTGGTGCAGGAACTCTGCGAAGTGGATTGTCTGCCGATACGTGTTTTCGAGGACAATCAACCATGCCTGCGTTTGGCAGAGTCAGGTCAGTTCAAGGCCAGAACGAAACACCTAGACATTCGCTTTCGGAATGTGTGCCAGAGTGTTCAGGAGGGATTAGTTGCGCTGAAGTATTGTCCCTCTGCCAAGAACCTAGCTGATGGGTTCACGAAGCCACTCACCTTCCAAAGACATGGGAAGTTTTGTGAAGGTCTGGGTTTGGGACGACCAAGGGTCGATTCTCCCCTCAGGCGCGAGACAAGAGGGGGTGTTGGGTGTAGTGAAGGGTTAACCTTCTGTGTCTCGAGGCTGAGAGGAGGCGCTTACAAGGGAAGTAAGCCAGGACGTGACGAAAGCAGCTTGGAATGCTGTGAGCTGAGTGGAAAGTGAAAGCAGCTTTGTTACGCAGCTGCAAGCTGAGAGAGAGACGCAGAGTAAGATGCAGCTTCAATCAGATGGTGTTTCCTGATTGTAAATATGCTATTTTTGAGCAAATAAAGTGCTACTAGAAAAGAAGAAACGTGTGGGACTTCTTTCACTGCCTTTTCAACACAGACGCTGTGCAATTCTGCTAATTGCTTTACGACCTGCAGAGGCCCGCAGGGGGAAGTGTGCTGGACACCAAGAGTAAAGCAATAAATCTTACCTAACATGGTTATGGACATGGTTATGGGTCAACGTGAAGCGTGAGGAAGGGCTTTGAAGCTTTATCTGCTGATCGTCAGCTTGATCGACTGCCGGAGACTTCAAGGGGCAGATCGGAGGAGGCTGACAGGAGTGGGAGCCAAGAGTCATAGAGTCTGACAGCACCAAGCTGTTTAAGCTTGAATCGTTTACCTAGCTCTTTGGCAAACTTCTCCGCCTGTTCATCTGTTTCTGAGAAGAAAAGCACGTCATCAACAAAAATCATCACCGGTTCCTGTGAGTCTCCTGATCCTCTCAAATAAAAGCAACTATCAGCAACACTTCTCCTGAAACCTAGCTTCTCCAAAGCTTCATTCAGGCACATGTTCCAGTTTCTAGCAGATTGACGTAATCCATAGATGGATTTGTGCAATCTCCACACAACATCCTGCCTTGAGTTCTCAAACCCCGGAGGAGGAATCATGTACAGCTCCTCCTGGAGATCTTAGTTAAGGTAGGCAACATCCACATCAAAGTGGTTTACTTTCCAGCCTCTTTGTGCTGCACAAGCTAAAAGCGTTCTCAGAGTCTCCGCTCGTGACGTTGGCGAATACACCTCCGTGAAGTGTATTCCCTTCCTCTGAGTAAATCCTCGAGCAACTAACCTGGCTTTATACTGCGGCTCTCCAGCGTCAGTGGGTTTCAAGCGGTAAACCCACCTGGAACTCACAGCCTGCTTGCCCGGTGGCAACTCTGTGAGTGAGAACACACCTAGATCTTTCATGGACTTCATCTCTTTGTCCATTGCTCTGTGCCACTTGCCTGCTTCTTCCTCAGGTAAACTCTGAATATCCTCGAAGGATTCAGGTTCACATCTTGCAGAACCTACCCAGACGCCTGAAGCGTCGTACCGATCAGGAGGCCTCCTTGTCCTCGCTGATCTCCTCAGTGTGACTCCTGGTGACCCTGCCGCTTCACTGGGTCCAGCTAAATCATCCTCAACTTCAGTGTCTTCCCCTCTGACCTGCTGCGCCTCTTGGGCCTTACAGCTGGTCCAGCAGGTGAAGAAGGCTCACTCTTTGGCTCAAACTTGACACTTGCCTGAGGAGGTGTTCTAGGTTCCCCCCTTTGAGGGATCCTGAGCTGTCCCTGCCTTGGACTCTGTTGCTCTGGACCGTGGTCCCCAGCAACAAGTTCCTCTTCCTCCTCGTCTGAGTCATAGAACTGCTGTGGAAGCACGTCTGGATTGGCGTGCAGACGTTTCCAACCAGCTTGCTCACAGAACTCAGCGCTATTGCTGATAACCAACCTAGACTGGTCTCCACTTGGGTACGCAAACCGCCAGGCCTTTGAGCCAGGCTCATACCCTACAAAGATCATCCTTTTAGATCTTGGCTCACCTTTCTTGCGTAGAGCCTTTGGAATAAGTACCCAAGCCTCACAACCAAACACACGAAGGTAGTGTACCTTAGGCTTCTCTCCATGAAGTAAGAAATACGGTGTATTTCCTACACTAGAGTTGCACACTCTGTTCTCGGTATGGACCACATAACGCCAAGCCTCCGACCAATATTTCTGGGGTAGCCCTGCGTCCCACAGGATCGCAGACACAGCTTCCTGCACCGTCCTGTTCTTTCTCTCTGCCAGCCCATTCTGTTGCGGAGAGTAAGGAGCGGTCAGTCTGTGGCTAATCCCCTTCTCCCTAAAGAAATCCTGTAAAGCAGAACCAGTGAATTCAGCACCTCTGTCACTTTGAAAACCACAAACTTTGGTGGAAAAAGTTATCTCAACTGCGGTGATCCAATCCCTGATCATTTTAGCCGCCTCCCCTTTCGTTTTCAGAGAGAAGGTCCAAGCAGACCTCGAAAAATCATCAATCAAAAGCAAAGAATACTTTGAACCTCCCAGTGACTCAACAGACATGGGTCCACACAAATCTGCATGAATTAATTCAAAGGGTTGTGTGGTCTGCCTCTCTGACTTTGGATATGAGCATGTCACAACTTTCGCCTGTTTACATGCATTGCAATCTAGAAATTTGTCACAAACATTAAATTTGCACCCTTGTGTCAGCTCTGGCGCTTTCTGGAGATATTTCCAATTCAAATGAGCGAAGCGTCTGTGCCAAATATGTGAACAACCATTGTGGGGCGCTACATTCACACCTTGGCCCTTCGCATCTTCGGTGTCATCTTCTCCTGTGGAAAAGGCACATTTACAGCAAACAAATTATCTTTAGACTGCACTGTGTACACGTGTTTCCCATCCTTGGAAAATTCACATTTGTCACCTGCAAAAGAAATTTGAAAATCATCGATCAATAGATCATGCACACTTAACAAACAGTTAGTTAAACCGGGCACTGCATAAGCTTTGACTTCATGCTTAAGAAAAGGACAGAAGAACAGTCCTGTCTCTGTCAGCTTTTTTCTGCTTCCATCTGCAAACTTAACAAACTTCTCAGTTTTTACTGTCCTGCAATTCCTCAAAAGATCAGCAGATGGCACCAACGAATTTGAGGCACCAGAGTCTATTATTACAGTGAGAAAGTCTTGTTGTTTACATTCCTGGGTCGCCAGGGCAACAAAAGAGGGAGGTATGAGGAAGTCCAGAAAATAAGCAACTAAAAAACGGAAATGAAACAGAGATATTGTTTTTAAATTGTTATGTTTCTTGTATTTTTATTGTTGAACTTTGCTTTTGTTTTTGTTTTTTGTGTTTTTATTACATGTATTGTGTATGTTTTTCATTTATTTCTGTGTTGTTTAAAACTTTAATAAAAATTATCTAAAAAAAAACAAAACAATTTGGCTTCGCTGGGAACCTGACCCTCTGATTTCCCTCCAGAGGGGTTTTGAGGGGCTACGGCGCCCTGTAGCACCCCCTTTTTCCTCTCGAAAGCTCAGAATTTCCCTCCTGGAAAATTCCCGCTTGCGCTGGGCTCGCAACTCGACCGGATTTTTTTACTCTCAGCTGGATACCATCCTACCAAAGATGCCTAAGCAGGGTAAAATTATCCTCCTGGGTGATTTTAATGCAAGAATTAGGCAAGATTTCGATCTGTGGCCTGGGACTATTGGGAAAGAAGAAATTGGCAACAGCAACCAGAACGGAATCTTACCTTTGACTATATGTGCAGCGCACAACCTTCTTATAACCAACACACACTTTCAACAAAAAAATAAATTTAAAACATCTTGAAGGCACCCTCTGTCAAACCACTGGAACCTCTTAAACTATGTAATTGTCTGAGCAGAAGATCGCTGTGATGTGCTCCTTACCAAAGCTATGACGAGTGCCAACAACTGCTGGACAGATGTCAGAGGCACTTAAAACACACAAGTCCAGCTAATTAAAAAGGAAGGTTTATTGACAAGAATAAACAGAAAGTCCAGCAGCTCGCTCCCGAGCAGCCTCCATCACAGCCTACGATGACTCACCTGGGGCCTGGTTTCCCTTTCTCTTCCTACGGAAAAAACAATGGAAATACGTCCTCTTCCTAACCCACCTCTCTGGCAAAGTCTGTAGCTTATTGGTTCAGGCACTCTCTCTGACAGGCTGTCACTGTCTGTGTTTTCTCTCACTCTGTCACTTGAATCTTCACCTAATTCCTGGCTGCTTGTTTTCCTAGCAACCTGCATACCATTATCTTCCTCCCCCCTGTCTCCAACTTCTGCTGTAATTTGCTCTTCGGACAGTGGCAGATTATGAGATGTAGGTTCTTCAATCCTGACAACAGATCACCAATTAATACACTCCACAATGGCTATCAATATTATACCTCAACGCAGGCTTCAGGGAAGGAAGTAAAGGTAAAGGGACCCCTGACCGTTAGGTCCAGTCGTGACCGACTCTGGGGTTGCGGCGCTCATCTCACTTTATCGGCCGAGGGAGCTGGCGTACAGCTTCCGGGTCATGTGGCCATCATGATTAAGCCACTTCTGGTGAACCAGAGCAGCGCACGGAAACACTGTTTACCTTCCCACCAGAGCGGTACCTATTTATCTACTTGCACTTTGACGTGCTTTTGAACTGCTAGGTGGGCAGGAGCTGGGACCGAGCAACGGGAGCTCACCCTGTCGTGGGGATTTGAACCACCGACCTTCTGATCGGCAAGTCCTAGGCTCTGTGGTTTAACCCACAGCGCCACCCACGTCCCTCAGGGAAGGAAACCAAGGTGCAAAATGAACACTCAAGCCCTTCAAGACCCTATTAAGCGGGACTGTTAAGGACCATCTGCTTTCGGAATTCCCTGATAACATTGAGGATCAAGCTAAAAACACTGGACCAAGCTAAAAACATCCATTACTGCAGCCTATGAACAAACGATTGGATACTAAACCAAGAAACACCAGTACTGGTTTGATGAGAATGAAAGAGAGATTGGATGCATTTGTAATGGTATCAGGGGGTTGCTCGAGAGCAATCAGGCAAATTCCTCCCTGGTGTCAGTATATGGAAACATCACCGCTGCAGACAGCCAGATTGTTGACATCACATGATGTGCCTATCTGTGGGAAAGAAGAATTTCCCAGAACGTTCACAGGCTGGATAAGTCTTTGTGAAGAGTGTAATTTGAAACCTTCTGTGTGCGCATGTTCAGGAAGTTTGTCAAACGTGCTGGAAGAACTGAACTGAAAGGACGTGTTTTTCTGTAGTTCTGTAATGTCAGAAATAAACATCATGTAAATAGATTTCTCACTTATTTTCTTTCCCCTGCGGAAGCAGGAAGGAGGGGATTGTGCATTTTACCCACGCTTGGGAAAATGTCGCCTATTAAAATCTCCCTGGTCTGTCTGGGAGGACAGTAAGAGGGGCCAGCCTCTGTGGAGGGGGCTTGCAAACCGACAAGTGGTAGCAGAGGATGGTTGCAACAACAAGACGGCTGAGCACCAGGTGGGAGACGTTTTTTGCTGATAAGCAGCGATCCACGGACCTCTGCGATGCTGATTTATGGTTGGATGGTGAACGTGAATTGAAAAGTCTTCGGTTCCCTGAGAAAAAAAGCTCCTGTTTTGGATAAAACAGAGCGGAGAGAAGCCAAATACTTCGCATTCCAGAGCTGATAAGAAGTTCCGTTGCTAAGCGACAGGTCGTGAGTACTTTTTGAGCTAAATTTATGAGCTGGTTAGCTTAAAGAGCAAAGAGAGAAAAGAAGCTTCAGAAACGAAAGCAAGGCTGGGTGTTTTTCAGCGACACTTGTTGTAAACAAACTGTTGGAAAAGGGACTTTCCAAGCTGATAGCTGTTGGATTGCAGCGAAGGCTTATTGTTTACAGACTCTGTGAAAGGGAAAATTCTAGGCAGCTGGGCTGACTGCCAGGTGCAAGCAGCTTGTAAACAGCCCAATAGACTTTTGGGTTTTCCAGCTTGTAGCTGAAGCTGCAGCTTGGGCTTAAAAGATAGCTCTGTTCTCTCAGAAACTAAATAGCCAAAACTGCCTAGAATGGTCTTTTGCAATGGAATTCTTGCTGGTGGGAGAGCAATTATGGGACTTAATACAAACCCCACAGCCTGTTGCTGTACAAGCACAGGGGGAGAAGGCTGCAATTCAAAGTGAATTGAAGCAGCGTGTCATAAGAATTTTGGCGGAAAATGTGGACGCTTATCTTGAGCCAGTCCTAAAAGGTGCACAAGAACCAAGGGTCGCTTGGGAGTCACTCCACAAAGCTTGTGAAGCTGGGGTGGGAAGCAAGGACCGAGAATTGGTTGCACCAAAAGGGGAGAGCCAAGATTAAGCTAGCCAAATTCTTGAGAGCTCATCGAAAGCTGGTAGGAGCTTTGAGCCACAACAGGGAAGTGGAGAGACTGTTGCTGCTGTTGCTGTTGAGGATCCTAGCACTGCTGCAATAGCTGTTGCTGATGGGGGGAGTGAAGCTCGGAAATCAAGCACCCCCACTACTATTGCTACAGAGGAGAAAGCTGTAGCTCAGAACACTGTTCGTCAGGAGACACCACATCAGGAAAAAGGAGCTAGAGGGAGCTCTGTAAAGCCTGAGGCCTCAAACAAAGGTCATACCCAGTCCCAGGCAAAGCCAGATATGGCTTTGATGTCCCTAAAAGCCACATCATCCGTAGAAAACGCATTTGTTATTGATGCAGGAGCGATGCAACACATGGCATCACGCCGGGAACTGTTTTCTACATTTGAGAAGCAACGCTTCACTGTGAAACTGGCCAATGGTCAGGAAATGGAAGCAACCGGGATCGGAACTGTGTATCTAGAAAGCCTGAACTTGACTATAAACAATGTTTATTTTGTTCCAGGTTTAAAGTACAATCTGTTGAGTGTATCTCAAATCACTAAGAAGAAACTGGTGTTATCCTATGATGAGGAAAGTTGCAAAATCTACAAAGATGGAGAGCTGTATCTTTCTGCCAGAGAGAAAGAGGGACTATATCTGTTAACTTTTGACGAAAGTGATTATAAAATGTGTACAGCATGTGAATCTAAAATGCTTTCTCTTGCAGGTATCTCGAAAGAAGACACGAGAGGAAAGGCAACAAAGATTAACAGTGTTTTTCAGCGAGTGTATGCTGATGTGATTGGTCCTTTAGCACCATCTAGAGGCAATGCAAAATACTATCTTGTATTTGTTGATCATTTTTCTCAATATGTATGGATTTACATGTTGCAGAGTCCCAGAGAAACCTTAGAAAGGTTTAAGGAGTTTTGTGATAAGGTTAAGAATGTTCATGATGCTAAAATTGATTTTCTTTTCACAGTCTAAGTCAGAGACAAAGACACAACAGGGAGTTGCTAAGCATAACACAACGTTCCCTAGCCAAGGTAATGCAGAAGCACTTGTTCCTTGGAAAACAGACAACCAGAGAGTTACATTGGTGAAACCAGTGGCGGGTAGTTCCAAAGGTGGAACTGAAACAACAGGGGATTGTTTCATGTATAACAACTGTTTGTTTTCTTCTCTGGATCAAGCTTTGTCTGCAGCTAACGATGATTCATATGGGGGAGGATGTCAGTATATGGAAACATCACCGCTGCAGACAGCCAGATTGTTGACATCACATGATGTGCCTATCTGTGGGAAAGAAGAATTTCCCAGGACGTTCACAGGCTGGATAAGTCTTTGTGAAGAGTGTAATTTGAAACCTTCTGTTCAGGAAGTTTGTCAGACGTGCTGGAAGAACTGAACTGAAAGGACGTGTTTTTCTGTAGTTCTGTAATGTCAGAAATAAACATCATGTAAATAGATTTCTGACTTATTTTCTTTCCCCTGCGGAAGCAGGAAGGAGGGTTGTGCATTTTACCCACGCTTGGGAAAATGTCGCCTATCAAAATCTCCCTGGTCTGTCTGGATATCAACCAGAGGAGGTTACCGGTATGCAAGCTCCGAGGACAGTAAGAGGGGCCAGCCTCTGTGGAGGGGGCTTGCAAACCGACACCTGGTCGGCTGTAAAGCCTTGTTATTGGTGCCAAAAAAACCTTCACCATGCAGAGCGCCACTCTTCTGTGGCTTGCTCATTCACTGGCAGAATCTGAGAGTGGGCAGTCCTTAAACCTTCCCCAGCAGAGTAGTTTCTTGACGCCCTATGAAACACCGGATGTATCCTCATGCTGTCCGGCAATTTCAGTCTGAAGGTCACTGGGTTAACCTGCTGTATTACCTCAAAGGGCCCCAGCCATCTAGGCTGCAATTTTTTGCAACCTCCCTTTAAGGGCAAACCCTGGGGCGACAATCACACCCTGTCCCCCAACCATATGACCTCCCCTGGCCTGCGGTGCCTGTCTGCCTGCCTTTTGTAGACTTCTTTAGCCCTTTCCAAATTTAGCCGGAGTTGTTGGTGCAAAGCCTCCATCTCTTCTGCAAATTGCTCTGCCTCTGGCACACTCCATTCCTCCTCTCCGTGCCCTGGGAAGGCCCTGGGGTGGCACCCGTAGTTGGCCATGAAGGGGCTCATCCCCGTGGACACAAGTTCAGCATTATTATATGCAAACTCAGCTAGCGCCAATTTCTCTACCCAGTCGTTCTGCCTCTCACTGACATAGCAGCGTAGGTACTGCTGCAATATTCCATTCGCTCTTTCGGCCTGGCGATTGGTTTCTGGGTGCCTTGCCGTCGAGAAGCTCACCTCTACCTGCAGCAAGCTCATGAGTTTCCGCCAGAACCGCGAGGTAAATTGTCTTCCTCAATCGGATACAACCCTCAGTGGCGTCCCATGCAGCCTAAAAATGTGGTCCACAAACAGCCTGGCTGTCTCCTCTGCTGACACCGCATGAGAGCAGGCCACAAAATGACACATTTTGGTCAGTAGATTGACCACCAACATCACCACCGCTGTTTTTCCCCTTTACTTGGGCAGATCTGTCATAAAACCAATGGACACCACCTCCCAGGGCCTCTCCGGTGTCAGTAAGGGTTCCAGTAACCCCGCTGGTGCGGTTCTTTCCCCTTTGGCCCTCTGGCACCTGTCGCACCCCCGGACATATTCTCGTACACCCTCCCTTACCTTGGGCCACCAGAACTGTCTGGTGACTAGTAGCATGGTCTTATGCTGCCCAAAATGCCCGGCTGTGGGGTTGTCATGGAGCTGCCTAAGTATTTTGGCCGTCAATGTCTCTCCCGGAGCATACAGTGCCCCTTTATAGTACAAGAGCCCTCCTTTTTCCTCAAACCCCCCATTTTTCCCCTTTCCATCTCTGAGCTCCCTGATTTTAGTCTGAGCAAACTCATCTTGTCTGGTGAGCCCAACCAGTTCTTGCTCCCCTACCAGTGCTCCCCCACACGACCATCGGTCTTCTGGGAACATGTGCCTGGCCATAGGAGGTCCTTCCCCTTCCATGTACTCAGGTTTTCTGGAAAGTGCATCCGCCCTCACATTCCCCCCCCCCGCCCAGGAACGTATTGTATCTCGAAGTGATACTGTGAGAACATCTGCGACCATCGGACCTGTCTCTGGTTGAGCACGCACGCTGTCCGCCAGTATTCCAGGTTCTTGTGGTCCGTTCGGACCTGGATCTGGTGCTGCGCCCCAATCAAAAAGTGTCTCCACTGCTGAAAGGCCAGCAGTTCTTTGTCATAAACAGTGTATTTTTGCTCTGACTTGCTCAGTTTCCTGGAGAAAAACGCACAAGGTCTCCAGTCCTTCCCTGACCCTTGTTGCAACAGTACTGCTCCAATGGCCTGGTCTGAAGCGTCCGTCTCCACCCTAAGTGGCTTCCCCGGATCCATGTGCAGGAGCTGCTCCTCAGAGGCGAAAGCCTTCTTTAACCTTTCAAAGGACTGCTGCGCTTCCTTGGTCCACACAAACTTCTTCTTGCCGCTGAGACAATCCATTATGGGTGCTGTCAAGTGAGCACAGTTCTTGATGAACTTCCTGTAGAAGTTGCTGAACCCTAGGAACCTCTGCACATACTTCTTTGTTTTGGGGCTCTTCCATTCCAGCACTGCTTTCACCTTCTCTGGGTCCATGGCCAGCCCCTTGTCCGACAGTCGGTACCCAAGGAACTCCACCTCTCGAGCATGGAATTGGCATTTCTCCAGTTTGACCCACAACTGATGCTTCTTCAATCTCTCTAACACCTGCCTGATGTCTTTCACGTGCTGTGCTTCATTTTCAGAGAAGATTAAAACGTCATCCAAAAAAGCCACACAATTCTTGTACAGCAGGGGGCCCAACACGTGGTGCATAAAGGCTTGAAAGCAGGCGGATCCCGATTGCAATCCAAACGGCATGACGAGATGCTCAAAAGCCCCCCGGGGGGGTGAACGTGGTCGTCTTCCATTCGTCCCTCTCTCTCACTCTGATCAGATTGTACGCTCCTCTTAGGTCCAGTTTGGTAAAAAATTTCCCCTGCCTCACACGCGTCAAAACATCGTCAATTCTGGGCATGGGGAAGGCTACGAGTTCAGTTACCTTGTTCAAGAAGCGGTAGTCCACTACAAGCCTATGCAGATTCATCGTTTTCTTGTCCACAAAGAACACTGGGCTCCCCCCTACGGCCTTTGATTCCCTTATGAAACCCCTCTTCAATTTCTTGTCAGTAAACTGCCTCAACTCTTGCATCTCCTGGTCGGACATGGAATACAGCTTGGCCCCCGGAAGCAGGTTGATTTGGCAGTCATAGGGTCTGTGGGGGGGGGCAGCTTGTCAGCCTCTCTCTCACTGAACACCTCCTTCAAATCTGCATATTCATAGAATAGAATAGAATAGAATCATGGAATAGAATCATAGAGTTGAAAGAGACCACAAGGGCCATCGAGTCCAACCCCCTGCCAAGCAGGAAACACCATCAGAGCACTCCTGACATATGGTTGTCAAGCCTCTGCTTAAAGACCTCCAAAGAAGGAGACTCCACCACACTCCTTGGCAGCAAATTCCACTGTCGAACAGCTCTTACTGTCAGGAAGTTCTTCCTAATGATTTCCATGGTCAAAGGCCATGGAAACGATGCCTTATGAGGAAATCTTTATGAGGCCTGGAAGAATTTAAGATTGAGAAAGGAACACGACAAGGTTGCCCAATTTCCCCATTGCTTTTTATATCGGTCCTGGAGGTTCTTTTAAATATGATTAGAAGGGACCAATTGGTTAAGGGTATACAAGTCGGAGCTAAACAGTATAAATTGAAAGCATTTGCAGATGACTTAGTATTGACATTACAGGAACCAGAATCTAGTACTAAAAGAGTAATAGAACTGATTCAAGAATTTGGTCAGGTTGCAGGATTTAAGTTGAATAAGTTAAAAACTAAGGTTTTAGAGAAAAATTTAACAGCGATTGAGAGAGAGAGGTTTCAGAAGAAGACAGGATTAACACTGGTTAAGAAAGTGAAATATTTAGGGGTTAACATGACTGCTAAAAATGTGAATTTATTTAAGGATAACTATGAAAAATGTTGGACTGAAGTGAAAAAAGACTTAGAAATATGGTCAAATTTGAAGCTTTCACTGCTAGGCCGTATCGCTGCGATAAAGATGAATGTATTGCCAAGAATGTTGTTTTTGTTTCAAACACTGCAAATTTTGGACAAAATGGACTGTTTCAAGAAGTGGCAGAGAGATATTTCCAGATTTGTCTGTCAAGGCAAGAAGCCCAGAATAAAATTCAAAATACTAACGGATGCAAAAGAAAGAGGTGGATTTGCCCTGCCAGACCTTAAACTTTACTATGAATCAGCCGCATTTTGCTGGCTGAGAGAATGGCTGCTTCTTGAAAACACAGACATTTTGGATTTAGAAGGTTTTAACAATGTATTTGGGTGGCATGCATATTTGTGGTATGATAAGGTCAAAGCACATAAAGCATTTAAAAACCATATTGTCAGGAAAGCATTGTTTAATGTCTGGACAAGATATAAGGACCTACTTGAAAATAAAACCCCAAGGTGGTTGTCACCGATGGAAGCGAAGGCTCAGAAAAAGCTCAATATGGAGGCCAAATGGCCGAAATATTGGGAAATTCTGGAACAAGAGGGAGATAAATTGAAATTGCAGAGCTTTGAAAAACTAAAAAATAAAGTGTGAGATTGGCTTCATTATTATCAAATAATGGAGGCATACAATTTGGACAAGAAAATTGGCTTCCAGGTGGAAAAATCAAAACTGGAAACAGAACTGTTAGATCCTAAAGTTAAGAATTTGTCAAGAATGTATAACTTGCTGTTGAAATGGAATACTCAAGATGAAACAGTGAAATCTGTTATGATTAAGTGGGCACAAGATGTTGGACATAACATTATGATGGCTGACTGGGAACAGTTATGGACCACAGGTATGAAGTTCACGGCATGTAATGCCTTAAGAGAGAATATTATGAAAATGATATACAGGTGGTACATGACCCTAGTCAAGCTTGCAAAAATCTATCACTTGCCCGATAATAAATGTTGGAAATGTAAAGAAACTGAAGGTACATTCTTTCACCTTTGGTGGACGTGCCCAAGGATTAAGGCTTTCTGGGAGATGATCTATAATGAAATGAAAAAGGTATTCAAATATACCTTCCTGAAGAAACCAGAGGCCTTTCTCCTGGGCATAGTCGGCCAATTGGTGCCAAAGAAGGATAGAATTTTCTTTATGTATGCCACAACAGCAGCAAGAATTCTTATTGCAAAGTACTGGAAGACACAAGATCTACCCACCCTGGAAGAATGGCAGATGAAGGTGATGGACTATATGGAACTGGCGGAAATGACTGGCAGAATCCGAGACCAGGGAGAAGAGTCGGTGGAAGAAGATTGGAAGCAGTTTAAAGACTATCTACAGAAATACTGTAAAATTAATGAATGTTAGAATGATGTTGGAATGAAGCTAAGGGGTTTTTAGTAGCAATGTTACAAGGAGTATGTAAAAATGGACTGCTAACAGATGAGAATATACAGTTATTACATATTAAGACAAAGGACTAAGATAAAAACAAAGAGGGAAAGGATTTGCTGAATTAACTTACTGAACTGGAATACAAAAAGGGGAGGTGTGAGGAGGTCAGGGAAACAAGTGAATGAAAGACAAGATATGGAAAGATTGATTTGTTTTTAATTGTTTTTACTTTTTTGTATTTTGTATTCTCTTCTTTCTTTTTTATTCTTTTCTTTCTTTCTTTTTTTCTTTTTCTTATTATTATTATTGTAACTTCTTTTTTATTTTTGAAACTTTAATAAATATCTTATAACAAAAAAAAGGAAATGATGCCTTATGAGGAACAGCTAAGGGAGCTGGGCATGTTTAGCCTGGAGAAGAGGAGGTTAAGGGGTGATATGATAGCCATGTTCAAATCTATAAAAGGATGTCACATAGAGGAGGGAGAAAGGTTGTTTTCTGCTGCTCCAGAGAAGCGGACACGGAGCAATGGCTCCAAACTACAAGAAAGAAGATTCCATAGAATCATAGAATCATAGAATTTGAAGTTCTTTCAAAGCATACAGTTCTCACTGGGTCCCCAGTGAGGCACAAAACTTAGCTCCTGAGAGAAGTGGCACGCACCCCTTCTCCTCCAGAGTCACCCCCGCAACCCTGGCCATAGTCATTCTTGGTTCTTTCCCCCCCAGGCAGTGTTCCAAGCAGTGTGCCGACCCAAAGGTGAGGGAACGCTGATGCCACGACACCACTGGGTCATGGAGTGCCAACCAACTCATTCCCAGTATAATGGGGGGTCCCGCCAGTGTGGCCACGTGAAAGGCAATGGTTTCCGCGTGCCTAGAAACCCTCATCCTCATCGGGGGTGTCTGGTGTGTCACTCCTCCCCCCCAGTAGCTCCCTGCCATCAATGGTGGTCACTTGCAAGGGGAAATCTAGTGGCAACAGGTGTAGTTGGTGCTCCAGAGCGAAGTCTCTGCTGAAAATATTGCAAGAAGACCCCGAATCCAGAAGAGCGTTCACTTCTACTGGGTGCCCATTAGGGAGTTCTAACACCACTTCAACTGCTATGGCTGCCTTGGGAGGGTCTGGTTGGCGCTCTTCTACTGGTCGCCTGCCTGGCTGCTGCCCCTGTTGGTCTGCAGCCAGGCTTTTTCGTTTCCTTGCACCTGAGCCTTCTCTCCCTCCTCTTTGCCTGCTGCCCCCACCATCCCTTGCCAGGCTTTTTTCTGGGGACAGACCTTCGCGAAATGTCCAGGGCGCTGACAGATGAAACACTTTTTGGCTGTTTTCCAGTCCCTCCCCTCTTTTTTCCTGAGCTCACTGGTGTTTGAAACCTCACGCGCGCGGGCTCCATCAATTTCCATTGGCTCTGCTGCCGCAGACCGTGGGAAGTCCCTGCAGGCATCTCAGAAATGCGGTTGCCTTGGAAACGCTCCCCTCTGGCCTCCCGCCTTTCCTGAGCCCGCGCTTCCTGCCGTATTCCAATCGCTAATGCTGTTTTAGTTAGCTCATCCGTGGACCGTGGGCGGGGGGCTCTGGATAATTCATCCTTTACTTCAGGATTCAAACCTGCCTCAAACAGAGCTCGCAGGGGTTAAGAGTGTAGGTCCCAGCCTAGCTTGTGCACTAACATCGCAAAACGCGATCAGTAGCTCTTGACGGTCAGAGACCCCTGTTTGCAACTCAGCAGCTCCCTTTGCGTCACACTTCCTTCCGCCTCGCTGGAGAACATAGCGCCCATCGCCTGATAAAATTTCTTCAGGTCTTTCAAAGCATCGCTCCCTGCTGCTATGAGCAGCCTAATCCATTCTCTAGCCCCGCCCTCAAGGTGTTCGATTATGAAATCAACTTTCTCTTTGTCGCTAGCAAATTCCCCTTCTTGTAATTCCAAAGCTTATTGTACCTCTGTCCGGAACGCGTTGTAATCTTGGGGCTTCCCTCCAAACTTATTCACTAGCCCTGGGACCTTCCGTCCGATCGGGGTGGCTCTGACCTGACCATCCTGTGCCCGCCTCTCCTCCAGCCAGGCTGACAGCGTAGCAACGTGCGCCTCGAGTGTAAAAAACCTTACAGCACCCAGAAAGGAAGGGGGAGGCAAGCCAGTGTTTGTTTTTATGGTTCTTAAATGGTCTTTTCTCTTCTTGGCCTCCTCTGCAAAATGAATGAACCATGTGCAGGTGTTATGATGTTATCTGATATCAAGGGAGAGAGGGGATCTAACAATTTATGCTCTGCAAAGGGTTTTATAAAGCTTTTTTACACCCTCCCCTCTCAAACGAATGGATTAAAAAAAATATTAGTGGACCGGGAGTGGAGAAGAGAGCGATTTGCTGAGATGAAGGACTGCTAATTACATTCAGCAGAAGTTTATACATGTGACTTTGAACTTTGACTGCGAGCTGTGGAAAATGATCCCTGAGTTTTAATGGCGGAATGGATGTCTTGTTGGGACGTTATTTTTAGCTCAGCATGTCCTTGAACAGTGGAAGGAATGTTTTCAAAGGAGTGGACTGTAAATGGATAGACAACCAGGGCAGTTAATCTCCCACACACCAGGTCTGAGGACAGAATGCCAGAAGGGCTGCATGCACAAAATGGATTTTTACATGTTTGGGAAATTACAATGGTGCTGACTGTATGGAAATAATCAAGTCCAGCCATGACAACTGATTAAAACTAGCAGGATGAGAAGGTGGTGAAAAGAATAAGGAATTTAGCAACATCATGGAGAATTGGACATATACAGTGGTGCCTCGCAAGTCGAAATTAATTCGTTCCGCGAGTTTTTTCGTCTAGCGAATTTTTCGTCTTGCGAAGCACGAAATCCCATAGGAATGCATTGAAATTCAATTAATGCGTTCTTATGGTCAAAAAAAGTCCAAACAAAGCCAAATTTGGTACAACAAGAGTTTATTAAGTGCTCTTTAAAGTCACACATACTGTAAAGAGCATTTCAAAAATTGAAGGAACAATAAATTCAAAAATTGAAGGAACAATAAAAATCAGAAAAATTCAGGAAAAAACCACACAAGCTTCCAGATTCTTGCAAACCCCTCCTCAACTGTTCCCCCAGCCACCCACCACACAGAAATTCAAATCCAGAATTTTTTTTAAAAAACAGCAGAGTGGCCCAATGGTCACAGAAAATCATAAAAATTCAGAAAAAAACCACACAAGCTTCCAGATTCTTGCAAACCCCTCCCCAACACCAAGTCCTTGAATTCCAAACACCCCAACCCAAAATCCAAACCCCCCAAAAAAAGTTTTAAAAGTTTAACTTACCAAATGGCTGCAAAAGAAGTTTTGGAAAAGCTTCAAAAATCACCAAAGTCTTCAAAAACCTCAAAAAAGGCTACCACACCGCGTGCTATGAGTTGCTCCTCGAAGTCAAGTCGCAACTGCACCTCTTCAAGCAATGCACCCTGTATTACTGTAATGGTTTTAAGAAAAAGGAAACAAACTTGCAAGACGTTTTCGTCTTGCGAAGCAAGCCCATAGGGAAATTCGTCTTGCGAAGCAGCTCAAAAAACGCAAAACCCTTTCGTCTAGCGAGTTTTTTGTCTTGCGAGGCATTCGTCTTGCAGGGCACCACTGTATTTGCAACAGGTGCGGGAAACCTTTTCTTTAAAAAAAAAAAAGTATAAAATTTAAATAATTTGGATTGATTTGTTAAAATTTGGAAAACTAATAGAAATTAAATAAATAATAAAAAGAGATCCAGCATTTAGCTGACACTCATGATGCACAGAGTTTCTTAAAAGCCACAAAGACCATCTATGGACCAATAAATCATGGCATATGCCCCCTATGCTCAACAGATGGTACCACACTTCTAAAAGATAAATGGCACTGGTGACAGCTGAGGGGGCTGGGGAGCAAACCTAGAACAGCATTGATTCAGGAAAGGAAAGCAAATACACCCCAAGTACCAATACAATGGGACATGGGTGGTGCTGTGGGACATGGGTGGTGTTGTGGGTTAAACCACAGAGCCTAGGGCTTGTCGACCAGAAGGTTGGCGGTTTGAATCCCCGCGACGGGGTGAGCTCCCGTTGCTCAGTCCCTGCTCCTGCCAACCTAGCAGTTCAAAAGCACGTCAAAGTGCAAGTAGATAAATAGGTACCGCTCTGGCGGGAAGGTAAACAGCGTTTTTGTGCGCTGCTCTGGTTCGCCAGAAGCGGCTTAGTCATGCTGGCCACATGACCTGGAAGCTGTACGCCGGCTCCCTTGGCCAATAAAGCGAGATGAGTGCTGCAACCCCAGAGTCGTCCGTGACTGGACCTAACGGTCAGGGGTCCCTTTACCTTTACCAATACAATAGCAATTGTCAGGATTACAGCTACCACTCTGGTTTACATAATAAATGCAGGACTGGTTAATATAGGGTGCAGAGGCCTCCCTCCCGGGCCAAGGGGAGGTCTAATGCCATTTGTTGCTGTAGGATCATTTTCCCCAGTGAGTTAATTTCTGTCTGCAATCCAATTATAGGTGCTTTTGGCTGGGAAATGTGGAAGTAATTTGGGGACAAGATAATGGGACTCTTGTGGAGTTGAGCTCAGTTAGGCTTAGCAGGAGTGCTATGTAAAGAAGTCCTTAAGCAGTGTGTGTCACTGCGTGTTGTCCCACCCAGCAATTGGTGTCATTGATCTCCCTTAATACGTTATGGGTGTATATAACAGGGACATGTTTTCTTTTTTAAATTTTTTTTAATTAATTTTAAAACATAATAATTATCATACATTCCACAAAATTTTACCTCTTATACAATCTTTTTGGACTTCCATCAGCACCTCTGGTGATCTCCCATTTTTATAATTTCTTCTGCATTTCTTAAATTCATATTGCCTTTAATTATCATAACTAACGTCATCCTTTTCGTTCAATAATGCAATAATTCAAATTATCCCCCTTACAACACTTCCTGCAAACCTACAAATGTCATCTGGTCATCACAATTACTTTTCAAATAGTCTGTAAATTTACGCCAATCTTCTGTGAATCTCTGGTCCCACCGGTTTCGAATTCTTCCTGTTAGTTTGTCTAATTCTGCATAGTCCATCAATTTCATCCTCCAATCTTCTTTCGTTGGTAATTCTTCTTGCTTCCATTTTTGTGCCAATAATATTCTTCTTCCGTCATTACATACAAAAACAGCTTACAATCATTTCTATTTATATCATCCCCTACAATGCCTAGTAAAAATGCTTCTGGTTTTTTAATGAATGTATATTTCAACATTTTTTTTTCATCTCATTATATATCATTTCCCAGAAGTTTTTCACCTTTTTACATTCCCACCACATGTGATAAAAAGTTCCTTCTTTTTCTTTACATTTCCAACATTTATTGCTTACCTTATACATTTTAGCCAGTTTGACAGGTGTAATATACCATCTATAAAACATTTTCATCACATTTTATTTTAAGGCATTGCATGCAGTGAATTTTAAACCTTCCTTCCATAATTTTCCCCACACATTCAGCTGTATATTATACCCAAAGTCTTTAGCCCAATGAATCATAACCGACTTTACCTCCTCATCCTTCAAATGCCATTCAAGCAGCAATTTATACATTTTAGACAAAATTTTATACTTATTACTTAATATCTCAACTTCAAACTTTGACTTTCATGAAATCCTTTTTCTTTGAAATCCTGTTTAAACATTTCATTGACCTGATGATAGTGTAGCCAATCTCTTACATATTCTTTAACTTCTTCATATGGTTTCATCTTCCATTTACTTCCTTCTTTTTGTATTAATCTCCCATAAGTTATCCAGTTTCCCTGCATATTGATCTTTTTCACACTCATTGCTTCTAATGGAGATAACCAGTGTGGTGTTTTTTGTTCCAATAGGTTTTTATACCTATCCCATATTTCTATTAGAGATCTTCGAAATATGTGGTTTCCAAATCCTTTATGGACTTTTGCCTTATTATGCCATAAATATGCGTGCCAACCAAATCTATTATCATAACCTTCTAAGTCTAACAAGTCCGTATCTTCTAATACCATCCATTCCTTTAACCAACAGAGGCAAGATGCTTCATAATACGATTTCAAATCTGGCAGGGCAAAGCCTCCTCTTTCTTTAGCATCTGTTAATAACTTATACTGTATTCTCGGCTTTTTCCCCTGCCAGATATATCTTGAAATTGTTTTTTGCCATTCTTGAAAAATTGTTGCCCCTTTGATTATTGGAATTGACAGAAACAAAAATAACATCTTTGGTAGCACATTCATTTTGATAGCAGAAATCCTTCCCCAAAATGACAATTTCATCCTTCCCCATATTTCCAGATCTCTTTTAATTCCATTCCAAACCGGTATATAATTATTTTGGAAAAGATCAATGTTTCCTTGGAAAAAGAGGAGAAAAGAAGGTGAGAGACTGTTTGATCACTCTTCGAACAAAAGAAGAGAGGGATAAGATCTTGGGTTTGCATTTCCAGAAGACACTGGAAATACATCAGACAAGAGTGGAGATATTTAAGGACATTCCGAAACACCTTCTGGATCTCAGATCTAACTATAAAGACTTGGTTATCTTGCTGAAAAGTAATAGGATTAATTTCAGGTGGGAATTTCCTCAAGGCCTATCTTTCAGTTACAAAGGAAAGAAGAGGAAAATAAGATCGGAAGACGACAAAGACAAATTTTGGAGAGACCACGGAGAAGACCTACAAAAGAAAGTCACAGGAGAGTTTAGAACAACTGCAAGAGAAGCTCTAGAAATACCAGGACTATCTCTGGAACTTAAAGACCGTCTGGAAAAAGTGATACCACCGGCGGAAGAGGAACAGGCACTTGGGGCCGTTGGAGGAGAACCAAAATAACTACATCATGGCCCTGCAACTACTAACCTGGAATTGTCGTGGTTTGAATTCCCCTCAGAAAAGGAAATCAGTATTTCATTTATTGAAAAAGGAACAATTAGACCTAATTTGTTTACAAGAAACACATATAACAAGATTACACAGGAAATTGTTGATAAATAAAAGACTTGGTCAGGAGTTTATTTCATCGGACAAAGTTAAAAAAAGAGGGGTTGTGATTTATGCAAAGGACAGATTATCACCGAAATTTGTTTTTAAAGATGACCAAGGTAGATTTGTGGCAATTGAAATTCAAACACAAGGAGAAAAATTTTTGATAGTAGGAATTTACGCACCAAATGATGGGAAATCTGAATTTTTTTAAGAAGTTGCATGAGACCCTGATGGACCATATGGATTACAACATGATTCTGATGGGCGATATGAATGGAGTGGTATCTACATATATGGACAAGGCACAAAGACAGGTAGTCACTAAGGATGGTAGACTACCGAAAACTTTTTTTGATATGACAGACAACTTGGACTTAGTGGACATTTGGAGAATAAGAAACCCCATGGCCAAAGAGGGAACTTTCTTTTCTGAAGCCAAAATGACATGGACAAGAATTGACCAAATTTGGATAACTAGAGGAATGGCACCAAAGACAAGAAAGGTGGAAATCTGCCCGAAAATTTGCTCCGACCACAATGCTGTTAAGATGGAAATGAGACTAACACCAACTGGCTCCTTCAGATAGAAGATGAATGACACCTTATTTAGGGATGAAGAACTATTAAAGAAGGCCCAAAAAACATTGAGAGACTATTTTGAGATAAATTTGAGCACTAACGTGGAGAAAAGAGTAATCTGGGACGCAAGTAAGGCGGTTATGAGAGGGTTCTTAATACAACAGAATGCAGTAAAGAAAAGAATTCAAAATGAGAAGAAGGACAAGATAATGGACAAAATAAAGGAAAGTGAAAAAAGATTGAGAGTAAATCCAAAATCTCAAGAGATTTTAAGAGAGTTAAAGTTACATCAAGTACAATATATGAAAATGATGAATCAGGAAATAGAATGGAAAATTAAACAAATGAGACAAAAGACATTTGAGTCGGCCAATAAATGTGGTAAACTGTTGGCATGGCAAATGAAAAAGAGACAAAAACTAAACACAATTACGAACTTAGAAGTGGAAGGAAGAAATATACAGAACCCTGCAGAGATTAGAAATTGTTTCCAGAGATACTTTAAACGATTATATACTCAAGGGCCATTGAAAGAAACAGACTTAGACCAATTTTTGAAAACAAATGGATTACAAAAAATATCTCAAGAAAATAAACTAATTTTGAACTATAAAATAACGGATCAGGAAATAGAAGGTGCCATTCAAAATATGCAATTGGGCAAATCTCCAGGACCAGATGGCTTGACTTCTAGATACTACAGAACTTTGAAAGAATGGTTAATTCAACCTTTGAAAGAGGTCTGCAATGAAATAATGGAGGGGAAAAGAGCACCAGAGTCGTGGAAAGAAGCATATATTACACTTGTACCGAAAACAGAGACTGAAAAGACACAGCTTAAGAACTACCGCCCTATATCATTACTTAATGTGGATTACAAAATTTTTGCAGATATTTTGGCTAAGAGATTTTAAAAAGTGTTAATGGAAGAGATTCACAAAGACCAAGCGGGCTTTCTCCCAGGAAGACATTTGTCTGCTGCACCGTGAGTGTTGGGGAAGGCCGCTCCCTCCTCAGGCTAATTCCACCAGGCCTAGGGGGCGGGGCCCAGACTCACCTTCGCCACAGCTTTAAGAAGCCTCACTGAGGCACTGGGACATCGCTGCTGCTGCACCGTGAGTGTTGGGGAAGGCCGCTCCCTCTTCAGGCTAACTCCATCAGGCCTAGGGGGCGGGGCCCAGACTCACCTTCGCCACAGCTTTAAGAAGCCTCACTGAGGCACTGGGACATCGCTGCTGCTGCACCGTGAGTGTTGGGGAAGGCCGCTCCCTCTTCAGGCTAACTCCATCAGGCCTAGGGGACGGGGCCCAGACTCACCTTCACCACAGCTTTAAGAAGCCTCACTGAGGCACTGGGACATCGCTGCTGCTGCACCGTGAGTGTTGGGGAAGGCCGCTCCCTCTTCAGGCTGATTCCACCAGGCCTAGGGGGCGGGGCCCAGACTCACCTTCACCACAGCTTTAAGAGGCCTCACTGAGGCACTGGGACATCGCTGCTGCTGCACCGTGAGTGTTGGGGAAGGCCGCTCCCTCCTCAGGCTAATTCCACCAGGCCTAGGGGGCGGGGCCCAGACTCACCTTCGCCACAGCTTTAAGAAGCCTCACTGAGGCATTGGGACATCGCTGCTGCTGCACCGTGAGTGTTGGGGAAGGCCGCTCCCTCTTCAGGCTGATTCCACCTGGCCTAGGGGCGGGGCCCAGACTCACCTTCGCCACAGCTTTAAGAAGCCTCACTGAGGCATTGGGACATCGCTGCTGCTGCACCGTGAGTGTTGGGGAAGGCCGCTCCCTCTTCAGGCTGATTCCACCTGGCCTAGGGGGCGGGGCCCAGACTCACCTCCGCTACAGTTTTAAGGACACTGGTGCTGCCGCAGCAATTGTTAAAAATGTTTTTATATATTTTAAAGTATTTTAAAGGTGTTTTTACTTCTTACGTTATTGTACCACCGTGAACAGTGGTTTTTATCTATGTATTTTTATTTTGTTCTGTTTTATTGTGGTTTGGGGTGGGGATTGGTTTTGCTTAGGTAGAATTGTTTTCAGTTTGGTTTGGTTTTCTATTTTGTAAATGGAGGCTTGTATGAGGCTTGGGATTGCTACCGTGGAGGGGCGAGGGAGGTATGGTGGTGGGGGCAGATGTTATAGGCGAAGGGGATCGAGATACGGATATGCTCGTACCCCTTCCAATCTGCGCCCCATCCCGAGGGACGAGGGTAGGGTGAGCAAGGATTACTCACCTCCGTCACTGGTGTTGTGCAATGCCAGGTCTATAGGCAACAAAACCGCCACTCTGCGAGATTTCTTTACCTCGCAGGGGTTGACCTGGCTTGTGTGACGGAGACCTGGGTACGCGAAGGGGCAACAGTTACCTTACGAGAGATGGCGCCCCGGGTTTCTCCGTCCTCCACCAGTCACGGACTGTGGGCCGGGGGAGGGGTGGCATTATTAATCCGGGAAGATTGTCCTTTCAGGGCTCTACCATCGCCATCGATCCCCGGCATTGAATGTGTTGGCCTAGTGTGGGGCTCTGAGGTGAGCTTGGCTGTCTGGCTGGTGTACCGGCCACCTAGCGCACCAGCAGCCACCCTGTCAGGCCTACTGGAGGCGGTGGCCGGCTGGGCCTTGGAGTTCCCTAACCTATTGGTATTGGGGACTTCAACATCCATGCTGATGCCACTCCCTCCTCACAGGCTCTGGACCTGGTGTCTTCCATGGCAACACTAGGGCTCTCCCAGTTTGTTTCAGGCCCCACACATCAAGCAGGCCACACGCTGGATTTGATCTTTGGCGTAGGTATAGATGTGATCATGTCTCCTTCAATTAAGGTGCCATGGTCTGATCACTACGCTCTGAAAGCCAGGATTGACTTTCCACCCCCACCCTGCTTAGGTGGCGAGCCGATTTGGGCTCGCCCGCAGAGGCTGATGGACCCTGATAGATTCCGTCAAGCCTTGCGGGACCTTGCTCCCCTGGCGACTCATTGACTGAGCTTGTTGAGGGCTGGAATACCCAGCTCCTGGCAGCCATAGATGAGATCGCACCTAAGCGCCCTCTGCGACTCCGCAGAAACCGGGCTCCCTGGTTTACCGAGGAGCTTCGGAAAATGAAGCGGGACCTCAGACGGCTAGAGCGAGTATGGCGGGGTGCCCGTGACGGAGCCTCAAGAACATCTTATAGGGTTTTTATGAAAACCTATGAGATGGCGGTGAAGGCCGCTAAGAAGTCTTACTTCTCGGCCTCCATTGCATCCGCTAGCTCTCGCCCGGCGCAATTATTTAGTATAATTAGGTCTTTAACGTCCCTTGAAGGACAGCCAAATTTAAATAACAATCTGACACACAGCTGTGAGGCATTTGCGAGCTTTTTTGCGGAGAAGGTCCTGTTGCTCCGCCATGACCTCCCTGCCAATTTGGATACAATAAAGGAACTGGAGGCCCCTCGACTGTCCTCGGGTCCAGTATTGGACCACTTTGATCGGATATCCCCAGCCGATGTGGACAGACTCCTCCGAGCTGGAAAGCCCACCACCTGTCCTCTTGACCCGTGCCCGTCTTGGCTGATTAGAGCGTGTCCAGACGAGGTGCGGGCCCCTGGGAGATATCATCAATTTGTCCCTTGGCACCGGGATATTTCCAGGGGAATTGAAGGAGGCAGTGGTGCGCCCGCTCTTAAAGAAAACATCATTAGATCCCTTAGATCTATCCAATTACCGCCCGGTTTCGAATCTTCCATTCCTGGGTAAGGTGATTGAGAGAGCGGTTGCTGAACAGCTTGGTAGGTTTCTGGATGAAACATCGGCTCTGGATCCATTCCAGTCTGGCTTCCGCGCTGGTCATGGGACCGAGACGGCTCTGGTCGCCCTAACAGATGATCTCCGCAGGCAGCTGGATCGAGGCGGGTCGGGGCTGCTGATTCTTCTAGACCTGTCAGCAGCCTTCGACATGGTTGATCACGAACTCCTGGACCACCGCCTTGCCGACGTGGGGATCCAGGGCACAGTCCTTCAATGGCTGCGCTCGTTTCTCTCCGGTCGGGGACAGAGGGTGGCGCTTGGGGGAATTGTCATCCCGCCACTCCTTGGTGTGTGGAGTGCCTCAGGGTGCGATACTCTCCCCGATGCTTTTAACATCTTTATGCGCCCCTCGCCCAGCTTGTCCGGAGTTTTGGGCTGGGTTGCCATCAGTATGCCGATGACACCCAACTCTATCTGTTGATGGATGGCCATCCTGACTCGGCCCCAGACACACTGACCAGATGTTTGGAAGCTGTGGCTGGATGGTTACGCGGAAGCCGGTTGAAGTTAAATCCTTCGAAGACAGAGGTCCTCTGGCTGGGACGGGACGATATGGGATTGGGGGGGCAACTCCCATCTCTTGCGTGGGTGCAATTAGTGCCAGCACCGTCCGTTAAGAGTTTGGGTGTAATCTTCGATACCTCCCTCTCTATGGAGGCGCAGATTACAGCTATAACAAAGGCGGCATTTTTCATCTCCGCCAAGCTAAGCAGTTGGCCCCTTATCTCTCTCGCCCTGACCTAGCCACTGTGATCCACGCGACGGTCACCTCCAGACTGGATTATTGTAACTCGCTCTACGTGGGGCTGCCCTTGAGACTGACCCAGAAACTCCAGCGGGTGCAGAATGCCGCGGCGAGACTCCTTATGGGGTCTTCGCTGCGAGATCACATTCATCCGGTACTATACCAGCTGCACTGGCTCCCGGTGGAGTACAGGATCAGGTTTAAGGTGCTGGTTTTAACCTTTAAAGCCCTATACGGCCTAGGACCCTCGTACCTACGGGACCGCCTCTCCTGGTATGCCCCACAGAGGAACCTACGGTCTGCAAATAAAAACATCCTGAAGGTCCCAGGCCTCAGAGAGGTTAGGCTGGCCTCAACTAGAGCCAGGGCTTTCTCGGCTGCGGCTCCAATCTGGTGGAACGCTCTGTCACAAGAGACTAGGGCCCTGCGGGACCTGACATCTTTCCGCAGGGCCTGCAAGACAGAGTTGTTCCACCAGGCCTTTGGTCAGGGCCCAGCCTGACTCCCACCTCCGGCAACCTGCACAGAACTTTGCTTAACGGTTGCCATTAATTTGATTTTAATTAATTTTATAATGAAATGTTTTAGAATGTTGGATTATTTGATTGTTTGATTATTTGTTTGTTGTTAGCCGCCCTGAGCCTGGCTTTGGCTGGGGAGGGCGGGATATAAATAAAATTTATTATTATTATTATTATAATTGATATTTTGGAAAAACTAGAAGTGAACATAAACACTAAGGCAGTTTTGATATTTGTAGATGTGGAGAAAGCCTTTGACAACATTTCTTGGAATTTTATGAAGAAGAATCTACAGGGTATGGGGGTAGGCCAAGGTTTTGAGAATGGTATAAGTGCAATTTATTCAGAACAAAAGGCTAAACTAATTGTAAATAATGTTGTGACGGAAGAACTTAAAATTGAAAAAGGGACACGACAAGGTTGCCCAATTTCCCCACTCCTTTTTATTTCGGTCCTGGAGGTTTTGCTGAATATGATTAGAAGGGATCAGTTGGTTAAAGGTATACAGGTCGGAACTAAACAGTACAAATTGAGAGCATTTGCAGATGACTTAGTATTGACGTTACAGGAGCCAGAATCTAGTACTAAAAGGGTTTTAGAACTGATTCAAGAATTTGGTCAAGTGGCAGGATTTAAATTGAACAAGTTAAACACTAAGGTTTTAGAGAAAAATTTAACACCGATTGAAAGAGAGAGGTTTCAGAATGAGACAGGTTTAACAGTGGTTAAGAAAGTTAAATACCTGGGAATTAACATGACAGCAAAAAATGGGAATTTATTTAAAGACAATTATGAAAAATGTTGGGCTGAAGTGAAAAAAGATTTAGAAATTTGGTCAAATTTGAAGCTTTCACTGCTGGGCCGTATTGCTGCGATAAAAATGAATGTATTGCCTAGAATGTTGTTTTTGTTTCAAACTTTGCAAATTGTGGACAAAATGGATTGCTTCAAGAGGTGGCAGAAAGATATATCTAGATTCGTCTGGCAGGGGAAGAAGCCCAGAATAAAATTTAAAATACTAACAGATGCTAAGGAAAGAGGTGGATTTGCCCTGCCAGACCTCAAACTTTACTATGAATCAGCAGCTTTTTGCTGGTTGAAAGAATGGCTACTTCTTGAAAACACTGACATTTTGGACTTAGAAGGTTTTAACAATGTATTTGGATGGCATGCATATCTATGGTATGATAAGGTCAAAGCACATAAAGCATTTAAGAACCACATTGTCAGGAAAGCGCTGTTTAATGTTTGGATAAGATATAAGGATTTGTTAGAAAATAAAACCCCAAGGTGGCTGTCACCAATGGAAGCGAAAGCCTTGAAAAAGCTCAATATGGAGGTCAAGTGGCCGAAATATTGGGAAATTTTGGAACAAGATGGAGATAGACTGAAATTGCAGAGTTTTGAAAAACTAAAAAACAAAGTGCGAGACTGGCTTCATTATTTTCAGATAATGGAGGCATTTAAATTGGACAAGAAAATTGGCTTCCAGGTGGAAAAATCAAAATTAGAAACTGAAGTGTTAGAACCCAAAACTAAGAATTTATCAAGAATGTATAACTTGCTGCTGAAATGGAACACTCAGGATGAAACGGTAAAATCTGCTATGATTAAATGGGCACAAGACGTTGGACACAACATTATGTTTGCTGACTGGGAACAGTTATGGACCACAGGTATGAAATTTACGGCATGTAATGCCTTAAGAGAGAATATTATGAAAATGATATACAGGTGGTACATAACCCCGGTCAAGCTTGCAAAAATCTATCATTTGCCCGATAACAAATGTTGGAAATGTAAAGAAACTGAAGGTACATTTTTCACCTTTGGTGGACGTGCCCAAAGATTAAGGCTTTCTGGGAAATGATATATAATGAATTAAAAAAGGTATTTAAATATACCTTCCCTAAGAAACCAGAGGCCTTTCTCCTGGGCATGGTCGGCCAAATGGTGATAAAAAAGGATAGAACTTTCTTTATGTATGCAACAACAGCAGCAAGATTACTCATCGCAAAGTACTGGAAGACACAAGAACTTCCCACGCTGGAGGAATGGCAGATGAAACTGATGGACTATATGGAACTGGCGGAAATGACTGGCAGAATCCGTGACCAGGGAGAAGAGTCGGTGGAGGAAGACTGGAAGAAATTCAAAGATTATCTACAGAAACACTGCAAAATTAAAGAATGTTAGAGTGATGTTGGATTAAAAATAAGTGGTTTCCGGCTGTACAGGTTTCAAAGTTTATAGATAGACTAAGATTAAGATTAGGATTAAAGAAATTGAAGGAAATGGAAATTTGATATTTAAGAGGTAAAATTTTAATGCTATATTATATTAAGATTAAAGATTGGGATTAAAAAAAGTGGAAAAGAAATTGCTGGACAAATAATTTGGACTGGAATACAAAAGAGGGAGGTATGAGGAGGTCCAGAAAATAAGTAAATTTAAAAACGGAAATGAAAAGGTGATATTGTTTTTAATTGTTCTGTCTTTTTTTTTAATTTCTGTTTCTTGTTTTTTGTTTTCTGTGTTTTTTATTCTTCTTTGGATTATGTATTGTGTATTTGTGTACTTCTATTCTATTTTTTTTTGTTTAATCTTTTGTTGAAATCTTAATAAAAATCATTTAAAAAAAAAAAAGGAAAAGATCAATGTTTTTAGTAGTTAACCAAATTCCTAAATATTTAACTTTTTTTTAACCGCTTCTATACCAATTTGTTGCTGCAACGCTTCCACCAGGTCCTGTTTCATAATTTTAACAATCATATTAGTTTTCTTTTTGTTCAATTTAAAACCTGCCACTTGCCCAAACTGTTCTATCTCTTCTAATACTTCTTTAGCACTTGTAGCTGGATTTTCTATTGTTAGTACCAAGTCATTGGCAAAGGCTTTCACTTTATACTCATTCCGACCAACTGAAATTCCCTTTATTGTCTCATTTTTCCTTATTGTCCTTAGAAAAACTTCCAGTACCGATATGAATAACAGTGGCGATAATTGACACCTTTGTTTTGTACCTTTCATAATCTCAATACTCTCTGTTACTATATTGTTCACAATCAAATTTGCTCTTTGTTCTGAATATATAGCTTTAATTCCTTTTAAGAACGATTGTCCAGTATTCATTAATTCTAAAATTTTCAACATAAATTCCCACGATATATTATCAAAGGCCTTTTCCGCATCAACAAAAATTAACATCGCTTGCTTTTCATTTCTGGCAGTCAGATATTCAATTACATTAATTATATCTTGTAGGGATATCGTGGAGTGGACAGTGAGGTCCGGAGGGAGCACACTCTCCACTGGCAGGCAGCCACAGTCTGCCTGCACGCGTGACCCTGGGGTGCAGGAAACCCCCCCCCCCTCAGACAAGCCACAAGCTGTCTGGAACATCGTTCCCTATGTCTGACCTTTTGCGGTCTCAGCAGTCAGCGGTGTCCTGTCTGTAACCTTTGTCCCTGAGACCTTTTGTCTCCTTCGTCATACACTGTGCAAGGGGAAAATGACGCTGTGGAAATAGGTGCCAAAATAGCTTTGTACCACCCCACGATCTCAGGACGGAAGATGTGTAAAGGTCACAGCCCAAAATGTATCTGCCTGGCTTACATATTTGTCTCAATAAAAGGAGGCTCCACAGGACTGGCAGCAGCTCACTTCAGCCCACCTGTGTGCAGCTCACATGATGATCAACTCCTGTCTTGGGCCTTCACTTCAATATTTCTTATATTATCTTTCATCTGTCTGCCAGGTAGAAAACCTGCCTGGTCTTTATGATTTATTTCATTCAATATTTTTTTCAGTCTATTTGCCAGTATACTTGCGAATAACTTATAATCATTATTTAACAGCGAAATCGGTCTATAATTCTTTACTTGCATTAAGTCTGAATCTTTCTTAAACTCACCAACCTCACCAACCTCACCAGTGGCTGCTACTGCCCATAGGCAGGATGGCCATCCTTTCACTTTGGAGTTCAATTCCTTTAACAGGTAGTGTCAGGAATTGGCAGGCTGCCATATTAGGTAATCAGCAAGCAGTGGTTGTATTTTCAAGAAGATTTATTATACACAGTAATTAACCTCAGATCTGTTTTGTTTAGCCCATTGCCTTCTACTAGCTGAGAAAAAGACAAGTCTCTTTATTCCTCTTCTGACTGACTGCCCCCCACATCCTGCTCGTCTTGACTGTGGGAAGTCATGTCCATTACAGGTCATTGCCAGCTTCCAAGGGTCTGGGTCAATACTCCTTTGACTACCCCCTCCTCTGTCTTTTCACACAAGTTACAGAAGTGCCGGGGCAACGGCCCATCCTAGTTACACTCCTTGCACACGTGGTTTGTATTGTTTTGTTATTCCTTCTGTCTCTTCCCATCTGTGCTCATTTCTTAGCCTGCGCTGTTGCTATAATTGAAGCCTGTTCAGCTGCACACATTCTCAGGAGCTACACAAGTGCAAAAGGTTTTTGCTATGATCAGCCCTAGAGACTTTTAAGTAATTAACTTTGGCACATTTGCAATTGCTCATCCGGTGCACCATCTGCTGAATTTCAGGTGCTGTTGGTGGTCCAGAAGGGAGAAGCTGGATTCTTTAACCCAACTGGAATACAGGTAGAGAAAAAGATAGGGGGCAATTTGTGATGAAGACAGTTGAGAATAATGTAGAGTAATAATGTAGAATAATGTAGAATAATGTAGAATACAGGTAGAGAAAAAAGATAGGGGGCAATTTGTGATGAAGACAGTTGAGAATATTGTACTTTGCCAACTGTTTAAAAGGTACAGGTCTTTATTTTATTTTTTTTTATTCCCCCCCCCTTGCTTTGAGGAAAGTGACAAATTGTTGGAGGTAAAGGTGGTCTTAAAATGGGATCCAAGATTCTGACATAGATTGAATTAAGATTGCCGGAAGAAATATCAACAACCTCAGATATGCAGATGACACAACTTTGATGGCAGAAAGTGAGGCGGAATTAAAGAACCTCTTAATGAGGGTGAAAGAGGAGAGTGCAAAATATGGTCTGAAGCTCAACATCAAAAAAACGAAGATCATGGCCACTGGTCCCATCACCTCCTGGCAAATAGAAGGGCAAGAAATGGAGGCAGTGAGAGATTTCACTTCCTTGGGCGCCATGATCACTGCAGATGGTGACAGCAGTCACAAAATTAAAAGACCCCTGCTTCTTGGGAGAAAAGCAATGAAAAACCTAGACAGCATCTTAAAAAGCAGAGACACCACCTTTGCCGACAAAGATCCGTATAGTTAAAGCTATGGTTTTCCCAGCAGTGATGTATGGAAGTGAGAGGTGGACAATAAAGAAGGCTGATCGCCGAAGAATGGATGCTTTTGAATTATGGTCTGGAGGAGACTCTTGAGAGTCCCATGGACTGCAAGAAGATCAAACCTATCCATTCTGAAGGAAATCAGCCATGAGTGCTCACTGGAAGGACAGATCCTGAAGCCGAGGCTTCAATACTTTGGCCACCTCATGAGAAGAGAAGACTCCCTGGAAAAGACCCTGACAAGGAGAAGGGGACAACAGAGAACGAGATGGTTGGACAGTGTTCTCGAAGCTACCAGCATGCGTTTGACCAAACTGCGGGAGGCAGTGGAAGACAGGAGTGCCTGGCGTGCTCTGGTCCATGGGGTCACAAAGAGTCAGACACGACTAAATGACGAAAAAAGAAGAAGAAGAAAAAAAAGCTTTGCACATGGAAGGTCCCAGGTTCAGACTGGGAGACTCTGAAATCCTGGAGGTGTTGCCATCA